CATCCTTCCCACCACAGAAGCCTTCAGGACCTAAAAAGTACAGCTGTTCAGAAGCTGAGAGGGTCTGTCAGAAAAAAGAAATAGCACAATGCTGAATGTTTTTTGTGCTATATAACTTTAGCAGCAAAATTTATATTATGTGTGGTAAAGGTACACAGCTAATTAACGTCAGCCTCACTTTGCTGCTTGTCTGAAACACACACCAGAACAGCCACAGCATGATTTAACAGAGGAAGGGATGGCAAAAAGTAAACCAGTTAAGCCCAAAGCCAGACACAGTGAATGTCAGATATCAAAACAACAAAAAAAACAAAACAGGAAGTTTGCAAAACATATGGGAAAAAACCTCAAGCTCTCTCCAGCCAGCGTAGCCAGCACAGCGAGCACTGAAGCCATGCTCTAGTTACATCCCCTTTTACAAATGCAAATACAAACGTCTTTTCGCATCTGCTTGAAATCCCAGGAAAGATCTCTGGAGAAACGAACAAGCAAACAAACAAAAAAAACCCCAAAAAGCACAAGAAAACTCCAAACCAACCCAGAACAAAAAACCAACAAGAAAGGAGGGAGAAAGACATTCCTGAATTGAGCTTGGCTTGTGATTTTCCTGGTTGCTTGGTAGAAGGTGGATTTTTGAACTGGATTTTTGCCAGCACAATGTAGGATACATTGAATAAACCGAGTAAGCTGAAGTGGTTTACATCGCTGTTCCCCTGACAGGGTCACAGAAGCTCTGTAGAGCACCTGAAGTTCAAGACCTCCATACTAGTCTCTCTCAAACCAGATGCTTTGATCAAGCATCCACTGGATTCTTCTCATCCACTGGATTCTGCTCATCACAGTAGCCAGGACCATACCTTAGTTTCCCATTGACATCAACTTCTTAACAGGCAAATTACCATCCTAACTGGTTAGCCTAACAAAATATGCAGTTATATATATTCAAATGCTCAAGCTATCTGTTATCTCACATCAAGAAACCTTCCTCTGTGGCAACAAAAATTGGTTTAGCGTTGAAATATCAAACGTGGTACTTACTCGAAACAGAAAAAAAAGAAAGAAATGTAATACTCATCTATGAGCCAATCACCGAGGCTACCAAACAGCTCCTACAGATGGAAACATCCAACAGAACAGTCTATGGTAACTACTGTAAACTACACCTAATCACTTAAAGTCCCAAAATAGCATTAACTGAAGACTGAGCAAAGGTACTACATAAATGTACACCAGAAAGTTCATTTTAAAATATCATCGTCAATTTCATTAGTTGCTAGATCAATTCCACCAGGATGCCTCCTCTAGAATCAACACTACCAAGCACAAATAAAACCCACAACCTGTTTTTATAATGTTAGCATTGGAAAACTTTGCTAAAAAACTGACACTAAAGTTTGTATATAATTAGGTCGATGACTTCTGGAAACCCAAAGCAGATTCCAAGAATTAATGACCTGAAAAAGAAAGGCAATTCATTTTTACACATCTCTAGGCAGAGATAGTTGTTTTTTATAAATTTAATCTAAAACTCATGCCCACTTTCGCAGCATAGGCATTTCATTTTTATGATAGCATCCATGTGCCCTTAATATACAAAAGGCTATAACTAACCAAACTTCTTTTCTTCTCCTTGCCTCTTTTTATCATAGTTTTAAAGTGTTTTGTTGAGATACTTCAATAACACCTTGTTATGCCTTACAAGTACAGAGCACAATCTATTTGTATAAAACACACGAGGAGATTCAGCATTACAGTATTATTGAAGAAGGATTTTTTATTTAGTATTCCTAGTCTGGATATTTTTTTTTTGCACTTCAGTAATACAGTTCTAAAAATGGAACTGAAATACTGAATTGGGGGAAAAAATAGAACACCTATCTGGGAATGGCAAAAAGCCCTAAAATAGTGACAAAAAGTTGGCAGCCTGGGGGTGTCCTCTGACTTCTATCAGCAGCAAACAGAGCCTTCAATTTGCTTAATAGACTCTGTACTAGAATACAGAAATAACTTACATGCTATTTATGTGGAGAATGAGGAGGAATTCTCAAAGGACTAGGTTACAGGAACATCACCAGAAGTAGTGCAAGAGGCCATATAAATGTGTAAAATTTACTGAGCAATATTTTGCAATTAATACCAAAATCCATCTAGAAAGAGGAAAAAATTAAGACATTTTAATTGCTCAGAACACACGAAAGATAGGAAATGAACCTCTGAACAACAAAGGAGGGGCAAAGGGGACATAAGAAACACAAAACATTGAAAGCTAAATTAAGGATTATAAGCAGTTTCTAGTTCTACATACTCCAGAAAAGAAAGAACTAACTTGATCCACAGAAGTAGAAATAAATGAGAACTGAAGACAGACACAAGCACAAAACAACAGAAGGGTAAAGAAGGGATAGAGAAGACAGGTGAGAAAAATAAACAGCAAAAACTACTTCAGAAGTATTTTTCTTCTCACAGAATGAATCACATTTCTTCTTCTTGCAAAATATGTAAAAAGATCATTTAAGAAAAGCAACAGGCAAACTGAAAGCTCAACAAGAGCCAGCAGTGCGTGCTGGCAGCCCAGAAAGCCAACCGCATCCTGGGATGCCTCAAAAGAAGTGTGGCCAGCAGGGCAAGGGAGGTGATTCTACCCCTCTACTCCAGCTTTGGGTCCTTTGGACCTTATAGCAGCCTTCTAGTACCTGAAGAGGGCCTACAGGAGAGATGGGGAGGGACTCTTTATCAGGGAGTGTAGCGATAGGACAAGGGTTAACGGTTTTTAACTGAAAGAGGGGAGATTTAGATCAGACATCAGGAAGAAATTCTTTACTATGAGGGTGGTGAGACACTGGAACAGGTTGCCCAGGGAAGTTGTGGATGTCCTACCCCTGGAGGTGTTCAAGGCCAGGCTGGATGGGGCTTTGAGCAACCTGCTCTAGTGGGAGGTGTCCCTGCCCATGGCAGGGGGGTTGGAACTAGATGATCTTTGAGGTCCCTTCTAACCTGAACCATTCTATGAAAGGGAAAAAAAAAAAAAAAAGCATAAATCAATTAACAGAGAGTTACAGAAATCTTAAGTGGCAGCCTTTGTTTCCTACAAAGAAAAACAGGGGTGCAAAATTCAAAATTGTCTGTGACTATTATTCAAAGAAGAAAAAATAAAGACTACATATGCCAGTAGGCTACAAACAAAACAACTCTGTGAATAAACTTAAAGGCCACATAGCATTTAACCAAAAATATCTCAAGAAACAAGACTGTTTCAAGGCACATTTCTAAAAACCATGGAAGCAAGCTACCAGCTGCAAAATCATCAGCTTTAAGGCCATATTTGAGACATCTCCAGCAATCAGGTCTACAATAAACTAACTTCAAATGAATAAAATAATAAAATTTTATTGAAATTACTTTAAGACTAATTGCATTAAAAAAACCCAACTACAGAATTACCATGTCAATAAAGACAATTAGGTTTTCCAAAAACACTGACTAAAAACAAAACAGAAACACAAGATACAGCTTGCTAGATATTTTGGTATATATTTCCTGGAGTCTATAAAGGACTTTGTTTTGGCATGCTAAGAAGTAACATACTAATTCAAGGTTTTTTATGGTTATACTGAATACAGCACTGAATGGATATTAATACTGATATCAAATGCCTATCACTACAGGCTTAACTCTGTCTCCTGTATACACTTAAGAAAAGTTAACTAGGACAAAGCTGTTTAAAAGGATGATAATTTAAAAAAAAGCCACTTCAATACATTTCATGAAGTAAAACAGAAAAAAAATATTAATTGTACCTAGAAAAATGCCACACTTCTGTCTTGCACTTTCTGTTGCAGAACTAAACTAAAACAAAAATGAAAAAGCCAAGCAAAAAACCCAGCTTGCTTGTATGATTTTTAATGTAAAGGAGATTAAATGTCTTCCTAAAGTGATGGACTCCTGTCAGCTACAAAAATAGCAAGTACCTAATATAGCTTACCAGTGCAAAGTCTCTCCCACCCAATTCAAGTATTTTAGATCTATTTTATAATAGTCAACGAATCTACCTGATCTATATTGGTAAAAGAGAACGATAGCTGGTTGCCTCACAATCACTTCAACACTGTAGCTGGCCTTGAGCAAACCTATTCCATGCTTCAGCAATGTGCAAGCTTCAACCACACAGCTCGTGTGTTTTAAGTCATGTAAAGAAATCCCTGGCTGCAGAGTAATGGTATTACTCTCTTAGGTAGGCAGGCTATTTATTGTCAAGTAACATTCAGTACACACTGAATTTCACAGAAACAAAAAGAGAACCCCATCAATTTCAAGTTTTAGTTGTATTTAACCTTTTATTTTCAATTCCCTTATGACTGCTACAGCTCTGGTCACACATGTTCTGCTACCGAAAGTTTTGCTGGAGAAGAGCATCCCATTTGAATAGCCCTGAAAGCGTCTGAGCTATCTTCGAGCCCAGCAGCTGTATTATCAGGCTGAGACGCGCACGTTTGTAACAGCAACAGCCAACAAAGCCTGGCTTCGCCGCACACCTTCATCAGCTAAGACAAAGAGGTCCAAACGGCAGGAAGAACTGGCAGAAAGGGAAAACGATCCCTGCCTGCAAGATGCCGTTCCGCTACCGCATCCCTTTTACTCAACTCCGGCGGGAGCCGGAGAAGGGAAGAGATGGCCGGCAACGGGGTCCCTCTGGGCGGGCGGTGCCACCCACAGAGCCCGGGTGTGAGGGGCGGAGGTGGGTGGAAGAGGCACTCCCACTCCAAATGGTGGGGAGCCAGGGCAGACCGAGGAAGGAATGGTGCAGGGAGGGAGACGCGGGTGAGGGAGACGCCCCGCCCGACCTCGGCTGCCCGCGTCCCCCCGTGCCCTTGGCGGAGTCGCCGGCGGGTCAGCAGCCCCAGAGGCTGCGATGGACGCCTCGGCTTTGCCCTCGGGGCGGCTGAAGGCCCGCGTCGCCCGCTTCCCCCGACCCCGGCCTGGCCTACCCCGCCCCGCCTCACCTGCGTGCCCACCACCACGATCTGCGGCAGCTGGATGATGTCGGCCCCCACCGTGTTGAAGACATCCTGCAGCTTGTTAATCACGGGGATCAACGCCTCCATGGCGGCCGGGGAGGGGGGAAGACAGCGAGGGCCGGTGAAAGCGTCGGCGGCGAACGGGCGCGACGGACAAGGGCTCCCCTCAACCGCCCCCTCCGCCTGCCGCCATTGGCGCCGGCCCCCGCGCACGGCACGGCACCCAGCAGGCTGTGCGCGACAGCCGGGCGCAGCGCCGCCGCCAGGCATCATGGGAGTTGTAGTCCAAGGGGAGGGGACTCCCCCAGATGGGGAAGGCAGCGTTTCTGGGTGGGGCCATAGAGGCGTTTGAAGAACAGGCCGCGTCGTCGCCGCGGTCTTGTACTAGAAGCCATTTCCAGATTTTAGTCTATTTTTCTAAAGATAAAGCTGATCCCCCCTAGGGATCACCAGTAGCACTGCGGCCCACAAGTTGAAGGCCTGTAAGCGGCCCGTGTAGGGGTGGGAAGCCGCATCCCCGCCTGTGGTGTAGCAGCCTGTGGCAAGCCTGTGGCAAGCAGCACAGAGCAACCACGTTTATTCGAGGCCCCGTGTTTTGAAAACTCTTGGGAAGCGGGAAACAACCAAACATGTGCCCCCGCTGCCCTTCCCGCTGCTTCACCAGCTGTGGTGGCCCAAGCAGAGCAAGGAGAGGCGCTGGCTGGCAAATGGCTGGGCCTTGCTGGGCACTGGCCTCACCAAGCCCAACAGAGCAGGCGAATAAAACTGCTGGGGGTGGGGAGGAAGCATTACGGAACTCTCTTCAGGGGGAGAAAAGAACCAAAGAAGATGTGGTCCTTTTTTTTTGTGTAGATATTTTTGTTTTCATTGCAAGTCTGTCAGCTAATCTCTGCATCTGACATTTTCTAACTCAGATCACAGAATCATAGAATCATCTAGGTTGGAAGGGACCTTCAAGATCATCTAGTCCAACCATTAACTCAACTCTGACAAAAAAACCACATCACTAAACCATGTTGCCCAGTACCACGTCAACCTGTCTTTTGGATACCTCCAGGGATGGTGTCTCAACCATCTCCCTGGGCAGCCCATTCCAATGCTTGATAACCTTTTCAGTGTAAAATTTTTTCCTAATATCCAACCTGAACCTCCCCCCAGTGCAACTTGAGGCCGTTTCCTCTAGTCCCGTCGCCTGTGACTTGGGAGAAGAGACCAACCTCCACCTCTCTCCACCTTCCTTTCAGGGAGTTGTGGAGAGCGATAAGGTCTCCCCTCAGCCTCCTTTTCTCCAGGCCGAACACCCCCAACTCCCTCAGCCTCTCCTCATAAGACTTGTGCTCCAGACCCCTCACCAGCTTCATTGCCCTTCTCTGGACCCGCTCTAGTACCTCAATTTCTTTTTTGTGGTAAGGGGCCCAAAACTGGACACAGTACTCAAGGTGGGGCCTCAAATGCATATAGAGCAGATGCATAATAGCAGGTGCTGATGAGGTGACTGGCAGGGCTCAGGAAGAGGGAAACTCTGAGATCTAGTTCTTGGCTGCATTGTATAAAAAGATCTAATGAAAAGAGAGGATGTCTGGTGATGCAAGCTCGCAACAAATAAGCTGTCTGATCTTTAAATATGCTTCCCTTGAGTGCATATTCTCAAAGATAAATAATGAATATGCTAGCACTGAGTTGAATTCTGGCTTTGTCCTTTCTTGTAAGCCAACAGTGTAAAAATGCTTCCAAAAATTTCAAGTTCTGGATGGCATTAAAAGTTCTATTCTTATTCTGTACAAATTAATCTTTTCCGGTCTTCATGTCTTGAAACCCTCAAATGTTGAAGGAAAGAAAACACAAAGAAAATATGTCTGTATATCTTTACAACAAAGTTTCTCGTTCTTAGCCAGGACACTGCTTGTCAGAGGACTAGTATTTTGTGATAAAAGCATAAAAATGGCTAAGCAAATTGAACCACTCAAAAACTAGAGTACTCAGTGCATACAGAAATAGCTAACACATGTAAAATTTTGTGACAGAGGTCCTGAATTACCTGTTGCTGAGGGATTCTTGTCATATCATACAGGCATGATTATGCAGCAGTTTCACCTATTAGCTTTCAGTGTGCTGGAGCAAATTGCTCTCAGAGATCATTAATACCAGGATGCCATTTGGCATCTGCCTCTCCAGCTTCCAGGATAATAGCAAATGTTCCATGCATTGTACATCTGACACAGCAAATACTCTTTCTAAAGGGTTTGCTGTTCCCTCTCTAGTATCGAGCATCATCTCCTCTCCTTCCTGGAGTCCCTGGAATGCAAAGAAAAGAAAGAAAGGGGGAAAAAAAAGCATCCCAGTAGCACAGGCATAGAAGTTGGTTGCATCTAAAGTAGATGGATAACACCAGCTTATTTCTCTATGTGAATCTCTTTTCTCCTGCCACTTTCATTTTGCCTTAGGACCTCATGGACACCAGCTCTGAAATGGAGCAAGTGCAATCTGTCTTATATTTTCATTTAGACCAGAAGTGGGAAATCTCAGAATGAATGTACAACTGGGCAAAAAAAACCAAAAAGGGTCAGAGAGGGACAACAAGGATGATAAGAGGTGTGGAACAGCTTCAGTATCAAGACCAACTGAGTTAGGAGTCTTCAGTCTGCGAAAGAAATGGCAAGGTTTAAGGGAGAATTATAAACCCTGCAATGCAGTGATTATATGGGTCTGGAGTGGATGGAAAAGCATCGGTTTTGTTTACTCTCCCTTCCAATACAAGTGTTTGGGGAACACCTAATGAACCTAGGAGCCAAGTCAGAATGAAACAGATTGTAGCCCTTCATGGGTGGATTGTTGACCTGCGGAGCTCCTTGCCAAAGGATGTTGTAGACCGTAAAAGTTTAAATGGCTTCAGAAGGTGTTTGACCAAGTTTAAGAAAGAGAAATGTATTGCATGTAAATAAATAGCTAGGTAGGAATCAAATCTAGCTCTGGATGTTTCTGAGCTGACAACGCTTGGAGGCTGGGAGAGTATCATGCAGAAGCACTGTGTGTGCTTGCCCTTTAGTCTGTCCCAGAATGGCTATTCTTAGAATTTTATCAGTGCAATATTTCAAGAAGCACACAGAGAAAATATCAGTTGCTGAACAGAATTGAGATAACCTAGCCTGCCCAGCAGAGATGTTGAAAGGCCTACCAAGGGCTGGAGAAATGCAGCTCAGATGGAGGAAGTGAATTAATGAAGAAAGGACTAAAGAGGACATAAGGCTAGGAAACATCAGAATGCAAAGTTTAATGCATTCTGCATTTCTGGCTAAGAAGTGGAGGCTGGAAGTGCCTCTGCCATGAAGCGTCATGTCCTGCACCAACTTAGAAAATCCAGCACTTACCTCAGCCCAGTTGAGGACTGTGCCAAAGCAAAGAACACTTTAACGAGCAGTGGTCATCTGTAGCTTTAACTCTAACTTTCCGTGGGAGACTTGTACTGAGCAAGAAACTCAAAAGATCTGATAAAAGACAGTAGTAGTCAGACTGGTTATTTACTAAAAGTTAATTGACATGAGGAAACAGGAACTGCCACATTGAATCTGACCTGATATCAATCTACCTCAGAATCTCATCTCAAACTGTGTCCAGCACCAGTTCTCTGGGGAAAATTTAAAGATGCAGTAATCACACCTTCTGATCCCTAAGCTGTATATTAAATAATTTTGATATTGCTGTAAGATCCGAAGTAGACATTTCAATATTTCTTCCATTTGATGTTACTGGAAACTAGATCGCTTTATTTACCACATAATAGGGTTTTTTGTCCCATCATACTAAAGTCTTGGCTCCAATGACATCCTGTGACAGTAAATTTCATGATCTAATTATGCATAGTGCAAAAAATCAATTTGGTGTCAGTTTAAAATTTGTCATCTTCTAATTTCATTATAAGCCTCCTTGGTTTTATATTTGAAGTCAGGAAAACAAAATTTCCAGTCTTTCTTCTCCATAATATGAGTTTTGCATCATCCTCTGCTTCCATTTCTGCTCAGACAGCTGGAGTCTCTTTATTTTGACATACTGACAGTAGTGGACAAGTCATTTGCCGCTTAATTAATTTATGCCAAAAGAGGTGACCCTAATCTAGCACCTCAGTGAAGCGTATTTCCTTGCCATCGTGTTTCTCTAGAGAAAGAAAGATTTGGCTGCCATACTGAAACGTATCAAGTATGTAACATAACATTTGTGCTGCATCCATAGTCATGCTACTTTACAGTATTGGTAAAATACTTCCATAAATTATTCCTTGTTAATGTCACCTTTTGGAACCCTGCCATGCAGCGATTAGATGGGTCTGGCAGAGCTTGATTTTTATGTGAAGCCAAATTGAGTGGTGTTTTTGTATTCTCCAGAGCAACCTCACCACAGATGTAACTTTAACACTTTCTCATAGCACTTTATACAAGACATCTGCCCAGCAAACACCATTAGAAGCTGAGATAAATAAATTCTTGAGATCCCTTGATGGAATGACACTTTGTTTGGATGTTCTACACAGATTTTCCAAGCTGGCAGATTCTAAACCTTGCTCTTTTACCAGAAGAGACAGAAAGCAGAGGTTTCAAATCCGTGGTCCAGGGGTTCTGCTGAATTGGCAAAGAGAGCTTCAGCTGGCTGTAAGAAGGTTGCGGCGCTGATAGGAATCTCCGAGTTACCTGTTACCTGTGCTGAGACCAGACTCTAACAAAACAAAATAATCCTGGGGCAGGGATGGATTTTTGCTGGACAATATGATGAACTAAACAACTGAGAGTTCCTTATATTCTCTCACCGTATTCACAGGGAAGTTATTTAACTAAATTTGTGCAATACTTGGAGAGTCACACAACCTCTCATAAAACACGCTTGCAGAACTGAAAGCAGGTTTCGTGTTAAGGGCCAGGGCACGGAGGGCAAGAGCCATAGGGCAAACACAGCAGTCAAAGTTCATCAATCAGTAACAAAGCCTGAGCGCTCTGGTAAGTGTTTGTAAGACATCAGCGTTTCTTACGAGGCCAAGAGAGATAAAAGCTTTGGCTGGAGATGAAAATAACCTCTGTATCGTTCTGTATTGCTGCGCGACGGTGCTCTCCTCTCCTCCCCCAGCTGGGGTGGGCAGACTTCTTGGGATACCAAACACAACGGTCACAGTAGCTTCAGTGAATGATTTTCATCCCTCTGGTGGCAACGGGACAGTTAGATGTATCCCAGCTGAGCAGCTCATTTCCGCTCCAGTGGAGGTGCATTGCTGAATCTGTCTGCTGAGCATGGATTGGTGATACCCAGTGCAAGCACATAGCACTAAATTGGTAACCTCTTAACTTCTAAACAGCAGATTTCTGTTTTCTTCGTGCATTTTGATGGGCTCACCAGCAATCAACCTCAGCATCTGTCACAGGACTTCATTAGTCAAAGGATAGATATTATAAATAAGGTGTTTCTCACTCTCATTATGCAGTCTAATGTAGAAAAATTTGGAAATGTTCGCTTGGTATTTCTCCACATCATTATAGATTCTTTAATTATATCTTTTTGATAGAAGTCTTCTCCTTTTTTATATCATGTACCGCTGAACAAACAGAGGAATCAACAGGTGGTGGTGTGAAACCCAAGGATTTCTTCCCTGGATTTTTTTTTTACTTAAGTCAAGCAATCTCACAGATCACATATTGCCTACCAGAGCTTGACTTTAAATGCAGAAATATCCACTGGGGAAATTTGTCATGGAGTCTGCTAAGTGTATTCCTAAAGCAATGTCAAGTGATAACAATAAATTTGAAAGAAAATATGAAATAATTGCTGCTTACATAAGGAATGGTTTGCAGTCCATTTTAAGGTGAAGACTTCTTACTTTAAAGGATCAAGGTTTTGGGAATAAAGGCAATAACCTCCTGTCTGATATCAAGAAAGTAATTTTTTATTGGAAAACAAAATGCATGCTTAGTTAGCATTCAGCTGAGGCAATAGAACTAGAAAGAAAAAGAAAAAAACCTTACCCCAACCAAGGAAGTAGGTAGTAGCAAATAGCAAACTTGCTGATGTTCAGTAGGATTCAGCTTCTATCTTCTACTTCTGGATATAATATTTTAAATAAGGCTATCTTCCGTGGTCTTTTTAAGTTAAAACAGTATGCCAATAGGAGCATTTTTTTATTTTGATAATACATTTTTTCTTGTGCATGCTGCTTTTTATATTATGATTGGTACAATTTTAAGTTTAAATTGGAATTATAACAATTGAGCATCTATGATTTACAACATCAAAGCCTACATGTAAGACTAATGGATACAGCTATCTGAAGCTCTTTAGTTCAGGTCAGGGTTGCAGTTCTGGACTGGACACTTGATTTCTTACCCGCCATGGTTTGCTGAGCATCACGGAGTTGTCTCGGAGCACATGGATGCGAGTCTTTTCATGTGAAACAGAACCACAAAATGCACTTCAGCCACTAAAAAGCATTCAGTTAATAGGACCCACTTAGCACTCCTCTAAAATTGAATTGAACTAAAAGGTCTTGATTTCCTTTTGCAAGCCAAGAAACACAGAAAAGTAAGGCAGAAGAGGCGAAGCATGTAGTTCTATATAGCTAAGCAATAGGTCTAAACAGAATTATTGTTGAAATCCTATCTTTTTCCATCATGGGGTCATTCGTTTAATTTCATGTGGTGGGAAGGCTCCTCCATTCAGTAGCAATCAGAATCCAAAATCCATTTCCCTGAAGCAGGGTCCCCTTACCCCCTTACCTACAGTTTGGAAGAATGAGCTGGGCATATTGTGTTACAACATGCTTAAAAGACAGCACAGATTTGGTGGTTGAAATGCTTGATGAATTCTTTTGGTAACACCCTCATGGTCGGAGGCTACATGAGTTCTGACTAGTGATAAGAATAATTAAAAAAAAAAGAAAAGGAAGAAAAAGAAGAAACCAACCCCTACAGAGAGCGTAGCTAACATCTGGTAAGCTTACTGACACATTCTTAATAACTAAAGACTTTAAAACAGGAAAAGTAATTTGAAAAATGGGCTGTAACACAAAGAAACGTATTAGTTTGAAACAGAGCATGTAGCACATCCTGCTTCTGACACTGGAGCATTACCTTGAGATCGGAACAGGAATTAGTAACACAGACACAGAACAGACCTCAAAGAAATAAACTCGGCCAGGTCTATCCTGATTTACCACATGAACCGGCTCTGATGAGGCTTAATATTGTCACAGCTGCCCAGTACACAGGGTCATGGAGGGAGAGGGTGAGCAGCTCAAAGCCAAAAGGATCACAATCATCAGGATCGCTCCTCTCTTTCTTTAAAAACACCACAGGACCCTCCAGAGTGATTTCTTTAAAGCAAAAAAAGCTCCAAGTCTTGCATTTACCAAAAGCAGGCATGACATTTCTCTGTGTCAGGAAGCTCATACAATGCCAAGAACAATTCTGTGGCAGTGATTAGTCAGGCTCTGACGGAGAGCCAGAGGGGACAACGCCCACCACAAACTTACCAGCCCTGCACTTGATGGGCTCCTGGACAATTTGCTCCCAAGTAGAAATATCAGTGCTTAATTAAACCTGCTGATAACAAGGAATTAAGGAGAAGCTGTGATTACGGGTTTCCTGTGGTTTGAATTTTATAATTGTGTTTTCTTATTAAAGCACGTTCTCTGTTAGAAGGCACTGCGTTGTGTTTAAGGAGGAAAACGATGGTTTTGCAACAGAGTAAATCACAGGGGAAAAGAATAATCAGAAAAATTAGTGGGAAAAATTATGTAAACAGAAAGGGAAGCATTACTTTCTGTGGTTCATCAGTACTTATTTCAAATGCTACTTTGTTTACTGTGTTTACAAAGAGAAGAAAAAGTAGAAACTAAACAAAATTCTTGTACGCAACTCCTTCCAAACAGGAACTAACAAGTAATATGGTACATTTTCCTCTCTATAACTGGGGGGCAATCTTTTCTGCAACATTGTGCAGATACCTGCAGAAGAATATGAAGAATAAATCAGGTATCTGTAAACAGTAAACCTGTTTTGATTGTGATGGAAACTGGAGGCAACTGCAGATGATTCTGTCTGTTAAAAGGTACTTAGAAGAGGATTAGCTGCAGTCAAAGTGGCACTGCCATAAACTGGGTGTGTGCTTAGCTTGTGAATTAACGAAAGCATCAAAGATGCCTATGCTTAGGATCAGGATCCAGCTAATTACCTGATCATTTTTGCTTCACAGCACCGCTTTAATTCAGTGCACAAGAGATGATGACACTGAGCAGCTGCTCAATCTTTTGTTTTGTCCTTTTGTTCGGAGCAGAGCCTGAGTAACAGTAAGACAGACAGGGGGCTACACTAAATATGTTTCTTTCTGTGCTTTTCTATGGGGGTGGCAATGCAGAAGCCCATAAAGTACTTTCATACTGTCCTGGCACATAAAAGAACATTATTATTCCTATTATAGAATCACAGAATCACAGAATCGTAGTGGTTGGAAGGGACCTCAGAGATCATTGAGTCCAACCACAAGATCGAGTCCAACCACACAAAGTGTAGAAATCTGGATCTAAACTGTGAAGGACTGCATCTTCTCTCTTCCCAATCTAAGACGTCATAGCATTATATACATCCCTTTACCTATGCAGAATATATTGTCCACCGACTCAGCAGTACTTCTGAGGAGCCAGCACTTCAGCAACAGACAGGTCCTTACAGTTACTTGCACAACTGGAAATGCAGTTTAAAGATCTCATCAGCAGAGACAGTAAACAGTAGACTGACCAAAAAAAAGTTAACCAGCAATACTTATTTAATGATGCTTTTATTTTACAGGATACAAATTTCTTTTAAGTACTCAACAGGAATTAAAGTGCTTAATTTTTACAATTCTCCACCCACCTTATGACCAAATATACATATATTACAGAACATATATACAATATCTGCAGACTTTTTACATTCATATATTTCTTGACCATAAAAATGACCACTTACATTACAACTTTCAATGGCATTTATAATTCAACTGTTTAATATTTTTCACCCTATTGCAAAACAAGAACAAATTTACACCTCTTCAAATATTAGTATTTAAAAAAAAAATAAAAGTGTTTTCTCAATTTCTTAATTAAACCCAGAAATGTTTTCATAATGAAGGGAAATTGCAGTGCATGGCCTACAATTATGTTGTCAAACCCTCCAGCTGATCCAGGTGCCACTAAAATTAATGTATTAATCTGCCTTGGGGGCTGGAGAATAGAGAACACTCTAATAGGAAAAAAACAACCCAATACTTCTACTGCAAACTGTTCCCCATATGCAATAAATTTGTCTTCTTTCTTAAAAATATGAGGGCACATACATGCAAAAATGCTTTGGCAGTTCCTTCTTTTCTGAATGTTTTCACCATAAATAGTTAATGAATCTACGAGGATTAACTATAAACTGAAGCAGGCTGGTATCATGCCATGGCTGAAAACATGTTTTATTCAAAGAAATCTGCTTGAAGATTTTAGTAGAGGGGAAAAAAATAAATAATAATAATAAAAAAAAAATCACATCCAACATCCATTTGTACTAGGAAGAGGAAGGGGTGAAAGCAAAATGCTATAGTTGAATTTGGGAAGAAATTTAATCAGGAAATTTTAAAGGAAGCAGATTGAACGCTTTACTGAATTTAGTGTGTTTGATTATTATTTTTTTTTTTTAAATTAGGCTGAAATAGTAAACATGCCACAAAAGTAGATCTACTTCTGTCGATTTTTTCTTCTGAAAAGCATACTCAACACAGTCAATATACATCATATTTTGAATGCAGCACAGTGTATTTTTTGATTGTAAAATACTCCTTGAAAACAGGTCATCTGAATGTCTCCAATATATAAATACACATATATACATATACACACACATACATATGCATATGTGTATATATACACACATATACAATCATTAAATTAATGTTATGTTCTGCTAAAGGAAAAGGATTTAGGAAATAATCTTGACTAGCAGATTAAAACTCCTCTCCAAGAAACATACTTCACTCCAGTCCCATGGGTCAGAACCAGCTAGATAAATTACTTATACCAGTAGGGCCACAGACTGAATTAAAAAAACATAACTCCATTTATTTCGTTTCAGATTTCAAATAACTGTACACCACAGATAAAGAATGATGCCCATTTCACCAATGGATTTATCTTAAGTATAGTCAATTCTGCCACAAAATTATTTGTCCTCCCCAATAATTTATTTTTGGATATATATATTCCAGCTGTTTACATTCACCCCAACATCAGTTACCTCCAAATGAAACCCATCAGCAGTTCAACTGAGAGCTGTGATTCCAGATGAGACATAGTAAAGCAGCAGCTCTCAAACTGCTGAAATCTTGATTTTCCACAAGTGTCTTCATGATGTTAAGGCAGATTCTACATGAATTTAAATCACTGTAGGTATAATAGCTCTAGCAGGTCCATGCTAGTCTACACCAGCTAAAGATCTCTAAATAGATTTAAGTGGAGAAAGCTCCATTTTTATTGCTTGGAATTGTTTTTACATGGAATATTAATTTCTCTCCTTAAAACCTTTCCTTCAGTCTAAGGAACGACTGCCCTCTGTTCATTTTATTTAATTGTGTCTTGAAATGAAAAGCTGACCAGTTTTTATACTAGCTATGTGGTGCTGAAATTTAAAAAAAAAAAAAAAAAACCAACAAAACCCAGAGAACCTGTCAAGTGTTTCCATCTCTTTCCTGCTTATTTGTATATATACTTTTTTTTTCTCCTGGCTCCACTTGGAACTCTGTAGAGCATACTTCTATAACCTCATCTAAAATTTACTCAGGTGGTAGCGTATTTATTCTACATTTAATCAGTGCCGTGGCTTCATTCATAGTTTAAAAATATGAAGAATAAAAATCCTCTTTTCTAGGAAAGGGATTTGGAATCTTTGAGGAGATTCATAAAGCACTTCGAGATGGTTTTGCATAAAGAGGTGTCACCATATATTACATGCATTTAAAGTGGCTTAATATTCTACTCCAAATAGAAGAGAGTGTTTTATATTCTCAGTATCTATTTTGCACATAAAAATTATATACATTTTGGAATAAACAAAACTACTCAGTGTAAAGGGCTTTGAAAGTATTAGATGCTATAGAGTTTACAGCAGCTCTTTGACCAAGCAGGAGTACCTGATACCAGGAAACAATTTTCAGCAGATCTGGAAGAATAGTGCAGACGTGTAGATGTCCCAACACACTATTTTTCCATGATTGATAGGGGAAAAATATTAAGTCATTTTGAAAAAATACATTAATATGTTCCAAACATATTAATGATAAAATTAAGCCCTTGTTCTGGTTGAACACGGATAAAAATGCACAAAAAAAACTTTTGATCTGCTTTAAATAGCACAGAAGACCGATCACTTTTAAAGTGAGAAAGAAGCGTTTCTTGAACACAAGAATTGGAAAGCTTAAATAATTCAGCAGAGCCATCCACATACATTCATGTATTATGAATGAATGCTCCTCAGTTATAGTTTACTCCTCACACACACAGCTTTATGCTAATACACTTAATGCTTTCTTTTTTTTCTTCCCCTTTTAAGAATTTAACAGCTGAAATGGGAACAGCCTATACCTTCTTAGAATGATAGTTTTAATTTGACTGCTTTGGTCACGATACTTAAGTCACAGCAGTTGCTACTTCGAATTTGTTCCTATCTGCTCATAATTTACAATTTAAAGTTAAAAAGTGTTGGATGCTGCAAGGGGGGCTTGTCTGTGGACAATGGAGGAAAACAGGGTGGTTAAAGCTAGAAGAAACTTCTCCATCTTCTGATCTCCTTTAATAGTGATGGTACATACTTTTCCTACAAAATACACACAGAACCACACATTTGAGTGCCAAGACAGTCTGACTCAGAAGAGAACAATTCCAACCAAGCAACTGATTATGAGAACATGAAATAGGTTTCACTAGGGTAAAAAAAATATGCTGCACTATATAAACTGAGAGCAAAAATGAGGCTAACATCCAAGTAACTAACTCGCAGTGCTAACTTAATTTCAAATTCTTTATGCCCAAATGGAGGGCTTCATCTGGGAGATGCTGAAATCATTCAAGCAGCTTCAGATACTCAATACCACTATAACAATAAGGCAGCCCAGAAATTACTGCTTTAAATAGTTGCCCTAATCATTCAGCTTGAATAGGTCTTCCTAGACTTGGCTCAGAAGTAAGTTTGCAGGAGCTTAGAAAACAGAATGTCTTACATGATTACAGTCATACCATCATATTACTTTCAGAACAGCTTGGTCCATCTTATCTGGGGACTCCTTTAAAGCAACTTCTCCCATTACACTCTAGAACTTGAACACGGGAAACAATGTTTTTACACATAAGGATGTGATAAGATGACCCTCCAGATCCCTCAATTGCACTTGAGAATCTTTTAGAAGATACCCATTTTCAGGAGATGACCATGAAAGAAAGTTAGCCATGGAGAGTTCTTCTTGCTTACCTGAATAGTTCCCCCATCCCTCGCCAAGGTACACACAAGATGACACGTACTATCTAGGAAGACCCAGGTGAAGATTTGATGGTACTCACCAATATCAATCAAAATGGGCTTAAGCTGCCCATAAATAAAGATAAATACAGCTGACAACAGAAATAACTTAAAAATCTCTTAGAGAATTACAGAAGGGCTTTCACATCAGATAAAAGTAGTACTAGGGTTACACGCAGAATTATCTGAACACATGGAGCACCCAAGGAATAATTCAGATCTGACAGGCACGAAGTCAGTTTTAGAGTTAGTATTCTACAATCCCATGTCCTGATAATTACTAACACTAGTTTAAAGCTTTGAGGTCTAAAGGCCATGGTAGACTTTAGATTTGTGCAGGTGAGAGCAAAATCCAGCCCACTAACAATAAACTTCATGACATTCTTCTTGCCAAAGAATGATAGACACTGTGTACTCAATTCACGCTTGACATTAAAAACAGAGGTTAGGTTACTTTGACAATCCTTTGTTAGATGTGAAGTAACTATTTTTTTTTCCCCTGTCATGTTGCAAAAAGAGTAAAGTGGGACTGGGAGTGGGAGTTCAGTCAATCCTTCGTCTGGAAATCTCATTAGAAAAAAGTGACAATTTGAATCAGCCCCCACGTTACTAACAAAACTGGACTTGAACCTGAGCTCTTCAGCTTGATGTGATTTAAAATACAGATTGCAGTTAAATTGAGAAGTAAGACTCCCAAATATTCCTACGATAAGATGATTGTAGAAGTAACATATTTTGTTTCCTTTGAGGGGCCAGAAAAGGAAAGATGGCAATGATTGTAATTGTCTACTTGATAGTCAGTCACTACCTCTGAATTTGTTGTATTTCATCCAAGGATGTTACAGTAAAAATTTTAGGGAGGCCATTTGCCTCTCTATATAAAAACCCTAATAGGAGTGGAAGTTCATAAGGGACTTAATACTGTAAAGCCAACAAGTCCTTATTCCTACAGCAGAATGCAAATAGTGACAATTAATGCAACTTGAGATTTGCAGGCTCAGACCTCATACTAGATTTGTATAAAGCAGGCTCCACTTTACAACAATAATCCTTGAAGATTGTTGTCACAAATAAGTAATATGGTATCTAATCTTCTGCAAAAATTAAAAGATTTAAGTTCAAAATGTTCTTTTGTTCCAATAACTGTAATAGCAAAAATACACGGTCCCAGAGGGTTTCCAGAATCTGCTGCTTTTCCAAACCACGTACTGCATTTTAGTAACAAACTACTGCACTCTGAAAAGATAACAGTGATAGGACACTGAAGAGAAGCGACTACTCTTTTAAACACAACTGGAACTTATTTGTCCATTGCATGCCACTTACATTACTGCTATTTTTTTAATGCATAAAAATATCAAGATCATTAAATGTCAGCTATTAAAACAAATCACTGAACAGTATTTGTTAATTTAGGACTGTGTTTAATTTCAAATAGAAAACATGCTTTTTTAAATAAATTATTCACTAATAGGAACCCAGTATCATGAAATCAAAGCAAAAATCAAGTACTGTACATTTTTAATACTGTACATATATTATATATTGTTTTCTCATATTTTAGGTATTCATTTCTAGATTGAAAATCATTAGATTGTTTCCTTGATAAATCAAAACTTTAAAAGCCAATATACCTGTGAAAGCAATTTGCATTAATTAAAAAGAGACAAGTGAATACAACATATGTACAGATCTGTGGAATTCAATCTATAAACTACATACATTAAACCAAACTGTCCCTGCATATTTAACTACAGATCTATTTTGGCAATGTGGAGGTATATCTTTTATCCTGTTGCAAGTCCTAACATGTAAGTAGGAAGATTCAATATTTGCATTCATAATGAAAGTAGCAAACATTAACCGAAGAGCAACTGGATTTTTAAAAAAATTTGCATCACGACAAAGTAGTAGTACAGTAAAGTTAGTAAGTATTTTCAATAGCATTCACATTTTTTAAAAAGTCTCTGAAATGGACCTGTACATCACTTTTATTGACAGAACATAAATATAAGAAAAAGATCCCTAAAAAGACCAGAATTTTTCCCAAACATAAAGTGCTAAGATGTGTACGGTAGTAAGAAGTTTCTTTTTTTTTTTTCTTTTTTTCTTTTTTTTTTTTTTTAATTGATTGAGCAAAGACAGGTTAACACAAAAGTTAACCAAAAAATTCAATCGAAAGCTTTTAAAAATACCTTATGTTCTTGAGCTTCAGCATTCGGGTGTTTTAGAGGCTTCAGGTTGCTCTTCTAAATTCCCTTGCAGTTCATTCTGACATTCTGGCGTCTCGCCTTTCACAGCTAAATGGATCACTTTCAGCCATTTCTGTTTCAGTTCCTCATTGTCCGCAGCAAAGCTGTGCACAGACTTAGACTGGGTCAGTTTGAAGCTGTGCGGGAGGTCAGCACTTCTTGGAGTGTCATCTACTGCATAGCCCAGAAGTGGAATTGTAGCCAGAGCTTTAACATCCTGAGGAGGAGGAGAAGTTCTTGATTAAGAACAGACAACTCATCTGCCCGCTACCTCTTGTTTACTCTACAGGCTGGTAAAACACTTGGGTATTTCCTCCATTCCCAAGCTATTTTGACCTCTTTTCCTCTGATATCAAGTGACAATAATTACTAAAATCTTTTCCATCTTCTCTGTACGTACCTGGGGAGCACCATACATGTACAGCACAAGAGCTTCCTGTTTAGGTATAACACACCATGCTTTCTGCCAGGGCTTTGATTTTTCCATGTACTGAAGAAAGCTACATATGACACTATTTCCAGAGACTTCTGCAGATTCAATCTAGGAGACAGCATAAAGCATAAAAAAGGAAAATGAGGTTTCTTAAATAACGACTGAAAACATAGGGAACGGAAAAGCTGAAATACATCACCATTCATATCAAATCTTAGATAGCATCTGCAAAACAGCTTGAGCAAATACCCAAGTAAGTTAAGGACGGGGTTTATGGAGAATATTTTTATAACACACACATACAATCACATTGTGTGCTCCCTCATCACATCTGTAATCTGTTTCTTCTTTCTTCGGTAATTTTGGATTGTGTACTCCTAGATCACTCTCAGTCTCATTCTGCCACCAGCTAGCTGTTCTCTCTGTCTTATATCTACAGAAATGTCTTATTTCTAAGATAACATCATGTTAGGCATGCAAGTGCTACTAACTATCCAATATGACAATTACTCTATTTTGGCAGTCAAAATATTATGACAGGATCTAAGGCAAACACATTTCTAAGAGTAATATAAGAATGTAAGCACTAATCCTAGAGAAAAAAATAGGGAAAACTGCTTAAAATCTGAAGACACAGTGACATGCTACTTGGGTTAAATAGTGACCCTGAGAGAACAGAAAGAACACAAAATGATTATGTGTTAATATTTCCTTGTGTACATTTTTTAACTCCCCCAGCAGTGATGCTGTCTGGATGCTGCAACGTGGTACCAACAACTCCATTGTCATGAGATCCAGCATGTAGACAGACATTGCCAAGACACTCTACAGCTCCTCCAGCTACCTTAAAAAGCCATCATGCCAAGAAACAGTAGTCTTTTGACTATGAAGTAAACTAGTGGAGTCCTGTGCTCCTTATTTGTTCTCATTTAAGAGAATGTAGAGTCAAGTGTAGTCAAGCCAACACTGATTATGAACTGTATATGGAATTACAATCTGTATTTTATTTTTGCCTTCTTTTTCTGTTGGTATTTAACTCAAGCTTGAATCCTTCTCTACTACATCCCAAGATAAATATACATCTTGGCAAAGTTAGGATGGTATCTCTCTAACGTACGTCAAGCATTTTAAAAGGGCCTATAACGAGGTATTTGAGAAATGGGAAGGTTAATTGCAATTGTAAGATGCCTATTTCTCTGCCGATCATAAAAGAAACAAAGGTCTTTGTTGTCTGATTGAGACCTTGAATTTTTAGATGTCAGAAGCAGATAGGAACTTGATGACTTGCAGGTACATTGTATACACTGATTAAAACAGTACCTAACTACGCAGACTCTGGATATAGCAAAATTCTCCCCCATTCCCCTCTCCTCCATCCCCACTTCTTTCAGTTTGGGTATATATTTTCAGGAACCACTGTAGTAACAGTGTTTTTTGTTGCTACAACAGCTTTAGTAGAAAAGAAGAAAACTGAAGATTTTTAAGGAAACGTAATGTTTTATCACGTTAGCTGATGTAACTGGAAAGAAGCAAACAAGCTAAGGTTCATAAATCCCCCATTAAAAAAAGAGTTGTACGAAACAAAGTAGTATTGGAAAAGATGAATGGGGAAAATAACAAATCTATTGGATGAGATTAATTTGGTCCATGTACTTTTTATTTCTCAAACAGAAAACAGCCCTGCAACAATGCTACCATTTTTCACCTACTGACGAGCCAAAAAAACTGCTTGCAACTATGCACATATAGTATTTTAAAATGACATACCTCCAAGATCCCTTTCTTTTTCTTTTCTTCACTGTCTGTACAACCAATTATAACATGATAGCAGTCCTTACAGACTTTGTTCAATTTATTGCCATCATATTCGAGATGTGCCTTATAATCAGAACATTTCCAGCAAACCACCTTAGAAACAAAAAACATAAGCAAACATATACAATTTAAGTATTTATAAAACTTCATGGAAATGGAATTTAATTTAAAATTAATATTATTATATCTTATTAGTAAAATTTTGCTTAATTATACAGAACAAGAAAGAGAATTGCTTTATGATGCTATTAGGTCAACAGTAACTTAACTGAAAATAAAGATTTTTCCAAATTTGTGCCACTGTTTCTTAACTAGAAGCACGTTTTGCTATTTACCTGGTGGGAACTTTGTGTAAAATCACATTAAGCTTTCAATTACATCTGTAGGTTAAAGTTAGGAACAGAATCAGAATATACCACAAACCATGCTTCAGGAAGAAAATTTCCAGTTTCTTTAGATGCCAACCTCAAAAGGTACACCTACCATTTTCTTTACTACATAACCTCAGAAATGTACAATTGAGATGTACTTTTAATGATTAAAAAAATAATAAAATCAGAAGTGGTTATTTTTTTTTAACCTAAGAAACATTAGATTTCCAGTTTTGGAATCTGTTAATGAGTACACAGAATACATAAGCCAATGTCACATTTGTCTTTTCACAAAATACATAGAGAAAACTGAAATGCAAGAAGATATGACAGAAGTTCTTTCATTAGAAATATTTTTCCACAGAAATGTTCCTTCAGGGGAAAAATATGCCCTGCACAAAAAGTGTGAGTGCAGTTATTTCAAGAAAGAAATGTATATAAATGGACTTTAACCACTCAAACACCTGAACAAAATTTTATCATGAACCAGGGCTCTGCAGTACTAATCTAGATCAGTACCTTCAACTAGTATCTCTAGAGAATATTAGTTAAGGATCTCCAATTCGTCACTGCCAGAAAGATACTATCACTGACCCAAATTAATTCCCATGAAGAAAAGTTTTAAAATAGAGGGAAGGATCTAGGAGTGTCAACAAAAGGGGAGAAAAAAGGGAAAGGTGTGATCTTAAGATCAATGGAGGAGTTTTAAGACAGAATGATTTGGAAAAAAACCCCAGATGACAACTGTATAATCAACAATTCATAGCTTATGAAAAAGTCTCTAGTATCCTGCAAAGCACAAAAGCAACGCTGTGAACGCAAAAAGCCTTCAAGCCACATAAAAACATTAGAAAGAAATCATACAAGAGAAGCTGTAAGGAAAATATTAAACCCGAGCTTGCACTACCACCTGCTGGAGAAAGGCACAGCTGCTGGATGGCAAGAAAAGCACAGAAAATATGGTTATTCTTTTAATAATTTCTGAAAACTCTCAAGTCATACCACTATTTCACTGTTGCTTTAAAGTGGCATATGTTGGTGTAGCATCATACATGGAAAGCATGTACTCTCTCCCCATCCTAACCTTCTCTCCTTCCCTGATGCCTCACACAAGTTCACACAGTTACACACAGAAACCAGCTGGGAACAGCTCCAAACTAACCCAGTAGAAAACTGCAGGGATTCATGACCTTCTTGAGAAGAGGAGTGCTGCCAGGGATAACACTGGATCATGCCAGTTTAATATGATCTTGAAATGGTTGAGATTTCTCAGCCTGGAGAAGAGGAGGCTGAGGGGAGACCTTACCCCTCTCTAAAACTCCCTGAAAGGAGGGTGTAGAGAGGTGGGGGTCGGTCTCTTTTCTCAAGTCACAGGCGACAGGACGAGAGGAAATGGCCTCAAGTTACGCCAGGGGAGGTTCAGGCTGGATATTAGGAAAAACTTTTTCAGTGAAAGGGTCATCAGCCATTGGAATGGGCTGCCCAGGGAGGTGGTTGAGGCACCATCCCTGGAGGTGTTCAAAAGACGGGTTGATGTAGTGCTGGGAGGTATGGTTTAGTGATGGTGATGCTTCTTGTTTGTTGTGCGGGTGTCTATTTTTGTCAGTTAGGTTGACAGTTGGACAAGATGATCTTTGAGGTCCCTTCCAACCTAGAAGATTCTGCAATTCTGCGAGATGAGTGGGGGCCAGGCAGAAGTAACAGTACAGCATGGCCAGGGGCTTGTGACACTTTACACAAAGGCGCATCTTCCACTGCTCCAAATTACTTCCAAATTTACCATGCCTAAAAGCAGACAGGGGATCCTTTGTGGTACACTGTGCACAGCTTCTCCTTTCAGCCACAAGCACAACAACAAACTCTGCAGCGTAACAGGCAGGTACCAGGAGTCAAGTCGGTGCCCAGACCCATCCCCAAGCCTGCTCTCCAGCTACAGCAGTGAGTTTTTTGCACTTACGTGTCCACACGCTCGGCAGTGGTGCCTTCTCCTTGTCAGTGCATTAAAGGGCTCCTTGCATTTCATGCACATGGTAACTTCGTTGTCTCGTATCCACCTCGGTGCTCTCTTCCCAAGCTCAGCGTTCTGAAGCAATGGGGGGGGCAGGAGGAGGATGGGGGAATAAAAAAAGGCAGTATAAAAAGTTGCACGGTACTTTAAATAGAGAAAATAATTATTCTCTTCCTCTGGAAAGGAAATGGCAAAACACAGGTCAAGATGCATTTTGAAATCTATACAAGAAATAACAAAGAACCCAGTCAAAAGTCATTATGCATCACTGAAAGGGTACTCTGTTATGTATTCCAAGAAAAAAAAAAAAGAGGCTTGTTTATAAGAATTGGCATTATGAAGAAAAACAATTACCAACAAGATGACTATTTTTTAATTTCTCTGTTATAAGAATAAGCTTGAAAACAAAGTTTCTGCCAAACTCTTTCCAGTTATTGAAGAACAAAACGAGAACTAAGAAGGTTACAAAGGCATAACAGCAACTTACAGAAACCTCGACAGGCGTATCTTCATATTCTTTAGCAATAGCGTTTCTGAAAGTTTCATTCCTCTGCTGGAAAGCTTCTATAGTATTCTGAAGTGCCTAAGGAAACAGTGGAGAAATTCCTCAAACATACTACATTTAAAATTGACTCTCTACATTCTGGCCAGTTATTGATTAGCAGAGGGAAGCTACAGCCAGAAAATACGAATATTACTTTTTTGATTGCTTCAGTGAAAAAGTGTTTAGAAAATAAAGAATGTAGATGAATTTACCTTTATCCATTCTTCCTTATCTTGTTCAGAACTAAAAGAAATATTTGACAAATTAGTTCAAAACTAATTCAGGAAACGTTATCTCACTATCACCAACTTTTTGCAAAAGCCAAGCTTCTGAAGTCATTCTCAGCAATTTAAATTTAAACAATACTGATTGTTAACTGTACAACTTAAAAACAAAACAGAAAACAAAGGCATGACTTCAGATTTCACAAGTTTGCAACCACTAAGCAGATAGTTAAATAGATAATAGATAAATGTACATGCATTCAAAAGTAGTTATAGTATTTGCACTGTTAGGTATTTTGGGGTTTGTTGGTTTTGGGGTGGTTTTTTTTTTTGAGAACAGGATAGAGAGGAAAAGAGAACAATGCAAAGTTTAGGTGTAGGTCAATTTCTCTCCTCTCGTAACTGCATTAAGTTCACATACATTAACATAACACACGTCTCCTGTGAATCTCTTAAATCTTCCTTCCTCCCCCACAAAAGTGATTTCCTTAATACTTTTTTATTGTTGCTGTTTTTTAAACTTGTCTACAGTGGCAAGAAGAGTATCCAATTAAACAAAAGGAAAAATGTGTTTTCATATTATAACCCAAAAAGCAAAAAATTTCCCTTTTATGTATTACAACAGATACAGATTACTTAAAATTAAATACAGATGAGATATACAGACAAGACAGAGATAAGTGAGGAAGCATATTCAAGTCTGATTTGTACAACAGCTTTGTCCTTAAAATAAATCAGCAGGACTTTGACGTTCAAATCTTTGGAAAAGCATCTTATATCACAAGTAATAATTCTATTAAAAACCACTGGCTAGTGCTAGTAATGAAAACAGTTTATCTGCAAAGTTTACATCAGAGAGATGAGAATTAACACCACGGTGTGTCTGGCTCTTCAGAAGTGGCCTCCTCCTTGGATAAGGATATGGAAAAAACCCCTTGTGTAGACACGCAATATCAGCCATGCAGAATATTATTTTTATATGCATTGCTCCGAAGGATGTGAAAGAGAGCTTTTACAGCATCTCAATAAAAATGGCTTCTTGTGTGCTGTTTTACAATATTAGTAAAAATTTAAGCCAGCAGAATCCTAAAAAAGTGCTTCCCTTTCCCACCTATCATCTACATACGAGGCAAAAGAAACCTGTGTAAACAGCCAAAATAATTCTCCCTACCTGCTTACATTAAAAAACAAAAGCTGAGCTATTAAAATGTTGCAACACACCAGCAATCTCTCAAAGAAATAATCTACCAGCTGTTTAAAACCAGTGATTGAAAATGTACTCAAATAGTATTCTGAAGAATAAACAAGCCTACTAGTAAAGAAAACCTCAAGGGTAAAGTAAACACTACAACACCGTTAATATAATCTCATGAATTAAGAACATTAAGGTATAGAGTACATACAGTACTCATGCATTAATCAAGATTGTTCTAATATAATTGAATAAAATCTCATTTGGTACTTATTCCTTCACAATTTTGTACAGATTTACTGCATTCTAAAAATGTTTATAAAACAAAACAAAACAAAACATGAAAGCATGTTCTTCTCACACCTAATATAAACTAATGCAATAAACTTTCAATTACTGGTAACATGGGAAATTTAACAAAATAAACTTACTTTCTTCTGTCATTTTTCTTCCAATTAAAGCATACTTCATAAACGATACAGCAAGATGCCATCCTTTGCTATTGAAATGGGCATATAGCATAACAACTTGCCAAAAACTTAGCAAGACATTGTACAACAATTTATAGCCAATGTGCCTAACAGTCAAAATCATGCCCATGAAATCTTGCAGATCTTAGTGGGAAGCTTTTTCCTCTCATTTTTTCAGAGTACGTATTTAATTTCAAATTAAATGATCATGTAGGTAAATTTCTATGTGCTGTTTTCTTTCTGTATTTACTGCTTAAATGGTGCTTTCTTTTTTTTTTCCATAAAAGAAAGTCAGTTGCAAACGCATTTATTAGCAAGCCATGGTCTGTCCCCAGAGACATGGTGTCAACACAGAACTGTATCCACCATGGATATCTTCATGCTTATTTAATCCTTGCCTCTCTGCAATGAAATCTGACTGCTAAGAATAGGATCTTTGAACAGGTCCAAAAGGAGAGGTGGAGCACCCTCCTTTGTTTGAAGTGGGGCAGTCTAGCCAGTGAAGGTTTAGTCTGGGCAATGGAGAAAGCAGTGATGGGAAGGTAACCCAGCAAGAGGAGGATACATGGACTAATAAGGAAAGCCAAAAAGTGCCAGTCAGAACAGTGCAATTGGAGGAAAAAAGACCCACAAACTAAAATGAGGTTGATACCTGGGAGCGGAGGAAAACAAGTAGGCTGGAAACAGGCCTGACAAATGGAGGAAAGCAGGTGCCTATCTACCACCACAGAAAACTATATTTTGTAGACATAAACCCACCAGGGTGGAGAGTTTTGTTGGGTGGACATGCCCTGGGATGAACAGACTCATTTGCACCAAGGTGGCTCAGGTACCAGAGGCAGCAGCACTACCCAGAGATTAACACACTGTGTCCCAAAACACTTAAAATTGGACAGATGGCCTTTGCATCAGTTAGGGATGCTGCTTTCAACTTTCCAGCCAGCTCATTCACAGCTATCTCAGGTATTTCTGCAAAATAAGCCAATGCACTCTACACTGTAGATGTATCTTCTACTCCAAGAGATTCGACTGACAATTTATGATTTTTGGCAGCCTAGGCCATTCTCAGAACACTGATATTAAGATAAAGCCCACTGTGTCTTTTGCTAAATCTATTAGTCCTCTCTTTTGTGTGTATATAGTTAGTGATCAAAAAACTACTTAAAAAGACTGCTTACCTGGCCTGCAACTCCAGTGTTCTCTCTTTTCCGGACACTTGAAAAGTGTGTGGATATTCTTCATTATGAGTTTCTATAATTTTCATACCGTCTATGCCAACTCTGGTTCGAACTGAGAACTTTGATCCTACCAGGCTGAATTTGGGGACGCAGTAGAGCAACATATTGTTAAACTGGGGAAAAAAGAAACAGGTGGCTTTGCGTTAACAAAAACACAGATAGAGCCAGTTTCTACTGAGAGCTGGAAAACATCACGAAGCTAGATGCAGTGGGTCAGAAAGCAGGTTCTTTCCTGCTCAGTTAATACACGAGAAGACCAAAGCTCTAACAAAAGACAACAATTTCTTTTTCTTAATTGTTTAGGAATAAGATTAAAGGACAGCTTCGGTGGATGTAAGAATAATTGCTCTGTTTGTGCAGCAGTCTTCATAGTATTTATGATCAACCATACTCAGACTGGGTATTTTATAGAACCGTAAACCATTTGTTAGAAAAACCCATTCTTATGCTCCAATTCTGCAAAGCTTACTCTAAACTGCAGAATAAGAACTCTTTTCTTCAGTGTATACACTTTTCTTCAAGACAGAAGAACATTTCTTAAGAGTTTTTATTCACTGAAACCCTCAATATCACAGGAAAAAAAATAATACATCAACAGGACAAAGATATATTCCTTTATTAAAGATTAGAACTTTAAATAATGTTTAAATGTCTAAAGCTCCAGCCTAGAAGCACAGTTATTAAATCAGATCTATAATGTTTAATTTTCTCACATTTTTCTAAAAATTAATTATTAAAAAGAGAAATTCACCTCACTTAAATCCTATTTCATAGAAACCCTGTCAAGCCTATTGCCTAGTCTGTATCACAGACAGAGCACATTTGAACTTGTCACCTCTCATATGAGGTGCACATCATTTTAATCAGCTGTCTGGCCCCATTTGAGGTTTTACCATTCAATTAATTCATCTTTTGTTTGAAGCACAGGTTAGCAGGAGTTGTGCCTCAATAACCTGTTAGTGGTCTTTATTAACCAGAAGAGCTGCAATGCCAGAGCCCCAGAAGCAAAAACGCATTAGAAATTTTTGATGCAAGAGAAGCAATGGGCTGCTTTTTTTCAAGGGAGCTGTAAGGGAACATGGCTGTAGTTTGTTTGTTCCAAGACAGGACACATGCACCTGCCATGATTAACAAATCATAAGGATTTGATTTCCTCCCACAGGACCATGAGATTTACTGGCACCCCAACACAATCAATCAGGACTATAGCATTTTAGCTTTTCTTCAGCTTTTGCATTTCAGTTTCATGAGGACATCAAAGTTCTCATGCTCTAGGACCCGTGTTCATAATCAGCAGCCAGTTACTTGAAACTGAGCTGCTGGACATAGATTCCATTTATTTAAAGCCATATATTGCCCAGAGAAGTTGTTGGTGCCCCATCTCTGGAAATGCTCAAGAGTAGGGTGGATGGGGCTTTGAGCAACCTGGTCTAGTGGGAGGTGTCCCCCCATGACAGGGGGGTTGGAACTCAATCTTTAAGGTCCCTTCCAACCCTAACCTTTCTATGATTCTATTCTGTTCTAACTGGTGTTTTCTTACACTCTAATATCACTAGCAGAAAGGCACTGAAATCAACTAGAAGAGTATTTTCCTCTCTCCCACTCCTGCAAACACAGGGCACCATACTTACAAGAAACAGATACCGTTCTTGAGCAGATGTATTGCGAGCAGCGAGTTTAAGGATTTGTCCTTCTTTTATCAGTTCATTTGAGGGGTTCACAATGTCTTCCTCTTCTCCCAGCATCTCATATATCTCTAACAATTTCTTTAGATTCTCCTTCACAGTGAAAATACAGCAATAAAACTTATCAGAAGCACAGATCTTTAAGCATGGTTAAATGAAATGATGGGAGCTTGTTTTATTCTGGAGAATGTTAGCTTTGAAAAACATAGATATACCTGGTATGTATGGTCAGCCATATAGATTGATTAACTTAGTTGATACAGTAACAAGTACTTTTAGAAGTGTTATGTCCACAGTAATTTTCAAAAGGCAGTTATACATACAGCCTGCATTATTTGTTGTCCAAAGTATCTCACATACTTCATTAAGTACCTATCATGCCAGCCCAATAGGTAACTACTCTTAACAAACATTATCTTTCCACTGTCAGAAACAGAGGAAACAAGGTTAAGAGTCCAGTGTGGCATCAGCTATTTGACCCAGGAGAAGAACCCAGCCTGTCCCACTTGAGAGAATTAGGGACAATGCTAAATTTTGCCTACCATTCCCAGGAGCTGCATAAATACATTAGGTACACTTGGACCCAAGAAATCCATTTTTGCCATTTTAGGGAAGACTGGCAATTCACACTCCTAGTTTCACCAAATACTCAAATATAATATATTAGAAAATGAATAGGAAAACGAGGATCATTTACCATTTTTCTTATTGCACTATTAGAGTGACTTGCTGCAGTGGATATTATTTCCAGGGATTCTAGACAGAAGAAAAAGAAAAAAGTAAAACCCAAAAGCTGTGTTTTTACATATTTATATATTACACAGAAAAAAAATGAAGTATTTAAAAAAAATTATCTGGCAAGTAATTTTTGAACAATCCATGGAAATATCTTGAACTGTTCTTGTGTAAATACAGAGAGGAATAAATTTAAAAATGAGCTGTTCTTTTTCCCTACAGGAGCTTAGAAATATGAGTCTAACTCCACTTTTTTGTTGTTGTTTTTTTACAAATAAGAGACATACAGTCCAAATGTGCATAAAGCAAATCAAAATGCTGACAAAAACAAAAACAAAGAAAAACCACCACTACCCCTGGTTATTCACAAAGCAAAAAAAAAATCAAAACCTGTGTGCTATTCCAAAACTAAAGCAAAATTTATGTGCTCCAGAAGCAGAATACTAAAGGCTTTACAGTTTTTATATTAACTTCATCTACTATTCAAACAGATTTTCTTTCCAAGGAATCCTACAACTCCACTGATGACATTCTATCATTCTTTTCAGAGGGAACTGACTTCTTCAATTTGTTTTTCCTGAAAATAGCTTTAATTTACAGTATCCTCTTACAGCTATCTTATTTAAGCTATTTCAATTACTAGAAGATATTTACTTTCAGCATCTTTCCAGTCTAAGGAATCCTGAGGCAATTTCCTTAGGTAGTCCTTTAGAAGCATCTCGTAGCGTGGAATGCGTTGTACTGGTTCAAGCATGTGATGTTGCAATGTCAAATTTCCACACACTTTTTCCTTCTAAAAAATTATAAACATATTTCAATGTACCAGGCAAAATGCTATTACGATATAGTAAAATAAAAGTTATGACTGATGAAACATAAATAATGTATTTTGAAACGTGCATGATAGACCTTCTGAAAGAAAGCAGAACTACTTTACCAAACCAAATAATTTTAAATTCTTAATTCAAAATAATTGTAAAAACTTTCCTAAGTACTCAGTATCCAATTCATAAACAGAAATCCTACCAAAAAATCTCCCAAACTCCAGTGCATTTTAAATTAGGTTTGTAATAACTTGGACAAGAGAATTACTACTGAATTAAGAAGAACAGTTCATGACCACATATTAGAAAAAGTCACTTAAGTGGGCTACAAAGGCATATTTTACCTGTCTGAGGAGGGAATGCTTTCTTTGAGTTTCATTTATAATGTAAAGCTCCTCAGCAGTGTTTTAAGATGTGTATTCACCTCCATAATCTTAGATGCAATTAAAAGATTACATTGAAGTACAAAAAATAAGTTGTCTTCCTTGGCTTAGAAACACAAGACCCTATAGAGCAGGAAGATTTAAGTAGAAATGCCTTATCCTATTTCTAGCTGCTCAGCCTGCGGTAGGAAGACACATCTGCCAATTCACACAGAAACCTACAGGGAGCACTAGAAGGTATAAAATGTGCTTTTGAAAGGACTAATGCGTTGCTTAACTGTGAAGCTTTCCTTACCTTTTCTAGTTCAGCATTTAGCATTACATACTTACTTCTGAAGCATAGTGCTCTGCCCAACAGCACTGCTGGTAACTAACAAAATACTTACCGATTCAGTGCAAGGATCTATAGTTGCACTGACAGGTCACTTAATCCTAAAACAGTATTTACATTTGGCATCCAGAACAAAATGTAATATATTTTTAGCCTCTTCAGGTTTCAACCTTTCTACTTTGGTCCTCTATTTTGCAGATGAAAGTCTTGATTTGTGTGGATATTTGTGCACATATGAAGGGAGAAGGAGGAGAAACAGAACGCAGTGTGGACAAAAACAACCACCCTTAATTCTAAGGGATTTGATATTTAATTTTCTTAATCCCTTTTTCACACACAAGCCGATACATTTTTATATATGCTTGTATCACCCACAGATCTACCTTATTCTCCCCATTACCTGAATATCTTGAATAATGAATTTGAATTGAGGTGACCGTTCAGTCCACGTTTTCACCAATTCCATGGCATTATCAAAATTCTTCACGTACTCTCCGTACATCTTGAGGAAAGGAGCTAACTTTTGCAGAATATCTCCAATTCTGGGGGTGGTAGTCCTGCAAAGTAAGAGGGCGGAGTCTCAGAGCAAACAGGAAAGAAAAAAAGTCACACAAGGTTACAAAACAGCTTCAAGCTTTTTATAGAGAATCCTTCTGTTTGGGATCGCCTCACATAGAGTTTCAACATAACCATCAAAACTGACCAGAATTACCATAGAAAGAGTGTTTTATCCTGTCATGATGAATAAGCATTATAAGCCATGTAGAGCACTAAAGAAAGAAAAGCCACCTATAATGGAAAACTTGGAAGTTTTTGTTTACAAAGCATGGACAAATGTATTTTATTCCTTAAAACATTATCTTCTCCGACCATATTTTATCCTCCAAATATCTAACCTGTGCGTTTGTTTGAGGACTAAATCCACACTGTACAGATTCCCTTCTGTGCCATATATAATTACATGTACTTACAACTTTTAAAAATCATTATTTATCTAAGAAAAGCTATGAAGTAGAGAGAATCCCTTGGATTCCAGTCTTTTGTGAGAACTTTCCCACATCTTTCCCAATTACTGATTGCATCTTCAAATAAAACAGAATAGTGAAGAAGGTGGTGGAGAGGCAGAGAGAAGCTGCACTCTCAAAGTACACAAAGAAAGCAGAGCGGCACACATGCATCTCCAGGAACAATAGAAAACATGTTTCACATTTCATTTTCAAAGACAGAAACTCAGCATCTCTGGATTTTTGAAAGTCTGAAATCAATGCTGTGGTAACGGTCTAAAGCGAAGCAATCTACTGCAATTACTCCAGCACACCACCTCTCCAAGAGAACAAGCTGTGCAGAAGGGAAAAAGCTATTTGAATAGTGAATATTGCCAGGACTGGCAAAGGCTGGTCCAGCTCCAGCTGCCTCTGGGGGGCAGAGGATACCTGTGTGAGACCTGGCAGAGCTCTGAGCTGCTGCTGGGGCTGGCAACCACAGAAGGGGACAAGATAGAGTGGGAAGCGGGTCTTTGAAATCACCGAGGCTCTCCACCTTTAATTAGCTGCACCTATTTTTTCGAGCACTCTACACGCAAGCAGACACATACACTTTCAGAAGCAAGCTAGGAATTTTAAAACAAAACCCCTCTCCTTTGATTCACTGAATGCCGTTTCCCTGGGTTGTCATTTTATTGCAATGCAGCGTATTATTTAACTGAAAATAAAATACACATCATGCTGATTCCAACAGAACAGAAGAAAATGTGAATACTAAAGGTCACATGAAAAAAACACCCCACAGACATTAAAGCTTCCTGATAAATTTAACGGATAAGTAATTATAAATTTTTGCAATTAAAAAGAACTTAAGGCAGAAGAGACTGTGGCAATCCTTTATATCTAAAGAAATTGGTACCAAAAAAATCCAATACTTTTAATTAACTGCTTTACAACTCTACTAGACAGACATGAAAAGAAGATATTAAAACTCTTATAAACTGAAAAGTAGGAATAGTTTGCTATGCCTGCTCCTTGGATAGCTAGAGCAACTCATTTACACAGAGCGCTGCAATTTCACTCTCTGCAGATTCAAAAATTTCATAACGACGTTTCATGCAAGGCCCCTATATGCCCAAGGACTCTGAGACTGTAAAAACACAAATTCATCATCATTTCAGGTAAGAAAGACAAGGTACACATCACACAAAGTTCTGGAAGAAGAAATCAGAGAAAACAGAACCTTCTGAGAGAATCATCTTCCTTTGATGGACTTAAAGTATGACAACTAGCTCATCTCATAGTCAAACACTATGCACCAGGAGCCAAAATACTGAATTCTACTAAATGCTGTCTGATCTGGGATAGTTAGTGTGCTCTTGCATACACAGATCAGAAAAAGAACTACTACCATGGACCCACATCAGCATTGCACTATTGCCAGACAACAGAGATAGCAGCATTATATGGGTCGAGAAACAGGGCTTCACGTTGTAAAGTAGGTACAGAAACACCTCCTGTTTCTGTGTTACCAGACCACGATGGTATTACACATTTACATTCTAAAAACTCAATCATGAAATGATACTAACCACGATTGGCAGCACCTCATTTAAAACTGTCATGGCTGCAAGAAAGCTAAGGAAAGGTCTGTAAAATCACAGCACAGTAAACGTGACTACAGAACAACTGCTTTCCCTTCCAATACCCAGGCTACCAGGCATCCAACAAAACTGAAAGTTGCATTTCAAAGCAAAACAAATCATATGAGTAGGTCAGCTCTAATTGCCACATATACCAAAACACTGTGTTGGAAGAGTGAACTTATTTCTTCAGCATCCCCTCCCTCTCTCCTCTCCCCTCCCACACCACCACCCCAACTCCCCCGACCCCTTGTGCTATCACACTGTATTCTTAAATTCTCCAAGTATCTCCTGTTGGTCATCCTCGGGTGCAAAAGACAGTTAGATGGGTATTTTATTTGATGTGGGATCACTGTTATGCTCTTTTCATGGGAAATATATTGCAACCAGGGTGTTTCCAGTGTTTTCAAGCCATATGTTGTAAAAGAGACACTCAGCCCCAGCTGTTGCTCAACTCATTCAAAATGCAACTACCAGACAATTTCATTTCCAGTCCATAAGCTTAGATTCACACTGCCCTTTCTCCTGAGAAAGAAGAAAATGCTTCTGATCTGCTTTCCCAGTTTCAAAACCTATGTATTTTTTACCTTAAGTTTCCAAACCAAACCACAACTCAGGGAAAGTATCAGAAATTTTTATCCAGCTATTTTTACTGAAAAATAAAGAATAATAGAAGTGCATAAACCTACCAACAGAACTTATTTAATTTCTATGTCCAATTAAGGGTACTGCTGAGGAAAATGAACTATCTGGCAGAAACTATTGTTTCAGAGTCTGGTGATGGGGAGAGAAAATTACCCTGGATTTTTCTTTCAGCAATGATCAGAAATTGAACTGCACCCTTTCTTCTAACGCCTCCCCAAAACATAATGTTTTAAGGACATTTAAACAGACTGTCTGAGGTACAACAAAGAGGTTGTTTCCAAGCAACGTGGGGAAAATAATATCCTTGCAATGTAATTTATTAGTTTTGCACCAATAGTCAAAGCTCACATGCAAAAGCACTTTTCAACCTTTGAAGCCATGTAATTATACGCACAATATTAGTGATATAGCATTTTGCAAATATGTAAGGTAGTGCAACCTATCTTCTGTGCTCTATGAAGTGTCTAGAGCAAAGTTTTAAGAGTATGTGACAAATTTCATTTCAAATATATACAGCACTGATATGATGTAGTATAAGCTGCTCTTTAAACATCATTACAGTAAATTAAACTCCACTTCTCATGAATATGCACTGTATTTTAATCCAGGCATTGGTATTGCCTATCAGATTTATTTCAATTACTTAGAAGAAAAGGGTGGGTTTACCTTACATGGTCATTCTGCAAGGAACATAAGTAGGAGGTATAAGCTTTCCTGTATTTTCCAGTGCTAACATTTTACTTACTTTCTTGCATTATAGACAAATTATACAGGGCTACCATGTGTTTGTGTATGGTAACTATTCTATTTTAAAGAATCATCATTTTAAAGGGGAATTATCTTACAGGGTCAGGAGATACATAGCTCTTGTCTAAAGCACCACGGTGTGATCTGAGATTTTCATGTGTGTCAGAAAAATACATTATTTCTCTATTTTTTAGTGTGATTTTTGACAATTAAGGAGTTCCATAAAAGCGTAACCGGAAATGATATATGGAAAAACACTTGAGTTCCTCATAATAAACCCTAGATAATATGGAATACAGAAGCCAAACAGGTACTGAGGTGAAACAATTGGATGAAACCATACTTGTAATTATATTTTTTTTTTAAATGAGGTGATCCCTTTTCCCAAATAAGGCAGGGATGCAGCAATGGTTTGAGTTTTGGTTTGGGTTTTTTTGACAATTACATAAAAGAGATTGAAAATACATTGCTACATTCTAATAACTCCAGAATCACATACACCAAGGCAGGATAAAGATACTACAGTATCTTTACATGATTGTGATAAAGTGTATTTACACCTTCACTACTCTTCTTGCTTGCTCCAAACAGAGGTCAAGAAAACCTGGGGTAAAAATGGCCCCAAGATATACCTGACATGGACTTTTATTTCAAACAGAAAACCACAGCACAGAAAACCAAGAATGTAGCTCCTCTTATTACAGAAAGCAATAACGACAAAGGTTACTGTGCTACAAGGGTAGCACAACATGCATTATGTTCTCTCAATTTTGTGTTCTGTGCAATCAATTCACCAGGTAGCACATAATTTCAGTCTTAACCCCTAATTCAGTGAGGCATTTCATCATGAGTAATCTCATTGGCTTCAGCGAGATACATGTCCTTTATTTTGAGCAAATGACGCAAGTTCTCTACTGAGTCAGATCCTGATGAAGAGTGGAAGAGCAGATGTTCTCCTACCCACAGTACTTCCTGGGCCTGGAACACTTAATTATGAAGGTACCTTCGCTACCTCAACCCTGTGACAGAGTTTCTACAGATACAGTTTTAGTAGTATATTAACCAGTGAATTGCCTCTTACCATTCTTGCATTCTTTTCTCAAGTTCTGGAAGTAAGAATTTACTGTGGAAGGCATTTATTGATGAAATATTAGAAAAGATTTTGTTAATCACTTCAGCTGGAAATGAACCTCTGTTGGCTTCCTCAAGGAGTCTGGAATAGAATACCTGCAATACAGAAAAAGAACCCCAAACTTATCAGCCTACCATCTTTAATCAATGGATGAAGACCTATCCACCCCTCCTCCTCCGACTGGGGCAAGATTAATGTTTCAATAATCTGGACAGGCAAGGACAAACTCATTTATTATCTTTCCCTCACCAGAACTTAAAAGTTTCTCCTCCCCTTGCACCCCATTTTTTTCCTTGTGAGCCAGGAAAACGCTGCAGGCGCAGCAGACACAAGGAAAGCCAAACTGAAGTAGTGCCATTTTGGACCGACTCCAGGCATCCTGTCTGTTTTAACAGCTAGATCATCTCAGCTTTCCCAGTCTTCCTGTCGTATTTTCCACTCTTGCTTTCTTTTTAATTAGCATGACGTCTGATCACCGTTAGGCCCAACCACTCTCCTTGTATGCTGTATCCCCTTCTCCTTTTGAAATCAAAGTAGCTGGCAGACTATGAGTGGTCACCACATACCATTTAAAGCACAAAAGGGGCCCAACTTCTAATTGGACTATAATCTCTTTAAAAATATATACTCTTTCCCTATCAGTAGGCTCTTCCTGACTAGATGCAACCACAAAATTCTTAGAGACATGGTCATGTCACATAAAACAGCACTTATAGGGAGCTATGGTCCCTCTACCTCCTCCTCCCATGCTTGAACAGACTGCATTTCTCTAGAAAGGGCTTCAGAAGTTTGGGTAAGGGCTTGGGAAAGAAGAAAAGAGTCCGAAGACAGAAACTTTGATAATCTCAACTGAGACAGCTAAAGTGTCTTAAAAGGAAAAAAGCCATACTCTTTCATATATACCATAAAACATGTTCACTTTGCTTCATGTCAAGAGGACAGTTAGTTAATTTTGACAGGTTACTTTGATGACTATAAAGGTTACATAACTTTTTAAGCAATCTTAGAAACATGGAAGTCCCTTCCCAGTCTCCTGCTTTCCTCTCATTAGCAGCAGTTGAGCAGCTGTGCTTGAAACTCATTTTTCAGAACTCTGTCCAGTTAATATTTGGAAAACAGGCATAGGAGTAATGCGTTTATGATTGCATCAAGGAAAATAATTGTACATTACCCATCAGAAAGACCTATGAAGTAAACATTTTCCTTCTTTATTTTTAAACTTCTCTACATCAAAGCTCTTTTTTTTTCCTTCAATACTTTGTCTTTTAAAATATATTGTATCTCCATCCCAATCTGGGTTTGCTACATAAATCCACTTTCATGAGGACAATTACTTAGATCTCCAAGCAGCCTGAACAATTAGTGTATCGGTTCAGAATTTTTACTTTTAATCAACAGTTTTCACTATATTTGTGCATAGACCTGAGAAACTTAAATATGGAGTAAGGCAATGCATAGCTATAGGTATCCAGGTAAAATGGGTATAGGTCTTATGTGAGAAAGTGAACGAGGTTTAAAAAAGAAAATACTCAAGAACTATAGACTTCAACATTTAAGAAATATCAGTTTGATTCCACAGAATTCAACCCTTTCCTTGCAGAAAGACTAATTTCTGTTCACTTAAATAGGTCTCAGTCCAAACCTATAGTGGGAAAATAGGGCATAACAGTTTAGAATGGGCATGTTGCATAGTTTGGCATATATAATGGGCATATAATGGCACAATTCGTTAGCACTAAAGAAAAATTCTGTTCAGGTCACTCAAAATTTAAAGATTTACTAATTTTCTAGTGGGCAGGTGATTTCAGTATTCTAAAACGATACTCTCCTTGGCCGTGTCACCAGAAGCCAAGAAATGAGTGAGCATAATGTTATCCATCCCCTTTGTTGGAAGGCCTACCACGCTGAGGTTCATACTACTACTGCTTATGGTGACACCTACACACTGAGAACCTATTACATTAATATCCACAAAATTCTAATACTTTAAAAAAATGTAGTGTTCTTAAAATAGAAACATAGGCAAAATTATGTGGCAAGGGCAAATATTGAGTGGCAAAGTCAGCAAAACGTGAAAAACATACCACCTCTTATGTATTTTATATACACACTTAATGCATAGCCGTTCAAGTGAATTCAAGGCAAGACAATAAAAGCAAATTCAAGAAAAATGTACCCCGTCTAGGAGGTCAAGTCGGCTAACGTAGGCTTTTTCTGTTTGCAGAAGTTCATTGGCAATTTTGTGACGTTTCTCTTCATCTGTCTCCTGGAGGAAAATAAGAAGAGCTCTTAGGATACTGGAGGAAATATAATTTAATACTAAAAAAAAAAAAAAAAGTTGAAGAGACATTTGATTACCTTACAGTCCAAAAAAGCAACTGAAATCTAAGCTTTGCATTTAGTAACAAACACACCACTTTGAAAAATATAAACTTTCCATCTGTTTAATCAACAAATACAGAAGTCAGAGGAGGATAAAGATCAAACTGCTGCATAAAACTCAAAGCCTAAAACATTTAGTATTTCTCAGTTTGTACAGGGATCCTTGCCAGAGCACCAACTCCCTACTTAACAGATCAGCTCACATCCTGGTAATCGAGTACAACTGACCTTTCGGAGCTGGAAGAACTGATTTGCAGAGTAAGAGGGAACAGATGGGATTAGTTGGTGTTCGCCCCCACCCCCGTTTCGAAAGTTGTTTGAACTGCCTGTTCTTTGCACGACAGAATTATTGAAAAGTACCGTACAAAGCGTTTTATGTTCATCAATACACTCATCACTGATTAACTGCTGACTGCAATTAGAGTACTCCTTTGTAGAAGTCACTTTTGCATCTTAAGGGAAGTCTTCGCTTTAAAGTTTTTCATTCCACAAAATACATTTTTGATTCTTCTGCTGAACGGAAACTTAAAGCATTGATTCAAATGTCAATATTAAACTAAACACATTAGAATATAAAATTATGAGTTGCTATGAGAAGTTACTTCAAAACAAACAATGAAAGCACAGCCTTCTGAAATATTAAAACATTAGAGAAATGCCTCATGCTCCTACGTGTCAGATTCAACAAAATGACACTTCCATTACAAGATTTTTCTTCCAGATTTAGTGTTAGCGCTGAAAAGTGTTCACATCTTACAATATGCAAGTCTTTCCTAAGGAAATGCCAGTCTTATCACAGCGCTTATGGGCAAGTGGTAATTTTCTAGACAAATGGTAGAAAGCATTCATAAAAAAAAAAAAAAATAAAGGAGGAGAGCTTGAAAGAGTTATTGCTGATTTCAAACCACACACTGCTTTCCACAACAGCAGGATAAATACTTGCAAGTACATTTATAAAGATGGTTTGCAGATTGCTGAATACTAAAGTTCCATCTTTTCATTTAAAGGATTTCAGTGGCTCTTTTTTCCCCTTTTCAATATTCAATAAGTGTTCCAAATCTGACCAAGTTTCATTTCTAATCTGCAGTGTTAACAGTCACACTGCTACACGGCAAGCCTCCTCTCTAAATACAGGCTTTCAATAGTTACTTCAAAGCTGTTCATTAAACCCGTTTAAATCAGCATAGCAACCACAGTAACCTACAGAACAGCATTTTAAGTGCTGTCAAGAGACATTGCAGGGAGCTGGAGGATTAGCTATTACTGCTGCAGCACGCCGTTCAGTGCAGCCATTTACAAGGAATCTCACATGTGGACTATGAGGTACAAAACCATGGAGGCTACTCGTTCATCATCAATTTTATTTCATTTTTTTCTGCCCCCCTCCTCCCCGAGCCCCACTTTCTCCCTGAAGCTCTGCTATAGAAGAAATGCGCAGTTTTCAGAAGATTATTTGAACTTATTAAGAGAGGGAAAATCACGCACAGCAGACTGGAAAATATCACACAAAAGGAGCAATTCAGAAAAAGCATTTAATCCTCACTCCTGGGTCAGGACAAACCCCTCTTACTCTCACTGCACTCTGACCCCAGCTTTCCCATCCTCTCAGTACCAACTTTACACATCTGCCTAATTCTTGAACCTCACTCTCCTTTCTACGCTGAGGAAGTGACCTGATTTGGGAATCTTCTACATGGGGAAAAATACACACCACAGATCAGTTCTCTTTTAATCACAGTGGCACGTTCCTGTTCCAGCATAACACCCACCTACAGGGTTAGATCAGTGCAAGAGTAACACCAAACTGTATTCCTGTTTGTTTTTTTTTTCTTTTAGGGAAGTCCTCAGTTTCACATCTCACCATCTCAGTATTTCCCCACACATTACGTGAACTCCCAGCTATGTTTTCTACTTCTCACTCCATCCTCACCACTACTCATTCTCCCATTTCAGTGTCTTATCTCGTATCCCACCCCCAGAAAAGCACCTAGTTTCCACAAGGTCACTCCAGCTGCCCTCCTGTTGGAAACAACAGGTCACAAGCTATTTTGCTAGTCGTGGCATCCATCTCTTGAGGAGCTTTTCTTGAGGGAAGTAGAAGCCACTTGTCCTGAGCATGTGAGGTGAACTGGGACCAGATACAGGGGTGGACACATGGGTCTCGGCAGCACCATGCTACACGGCAAGGCACATTTGGTGGAAAGACCCAACACTGCAGGAAGCAGGTGCTGCATCTGCCATATTCTGGGGGCTGGAGTTTGGCTATTCCGAGTAGCAGGAAGCAACTCTTACAATGTAATTCAGAAGTAAATCCTGAATAATGTTTTGTGACAGTAAGAATGACACGGTGCCATTCGTTATTATAGCTGTTCAACAAAACAGCCTTCAAAAACCTCATAGAGATAATGGAGGAAAATTGTTAGAAGAAAACACCTTAAAAAAACATGGAAAACCACGGATGAAGTTAAATACTAACTTCTGAGAACTGCAATGCTTCCCTGATGAACTAATGGTATCAAATCTGTAAAGAACTACTGTATCAAATCTAACCATTAACAGCAAAAGGGAATTTTAATTATCTTAAATTACAAGTTAAGCTTTATTTTCACGGGATATAACCATAAATAGAATCATAGAATCACAGAATGATATGGGGTTGGAAGGGACCTCTGGAGATCATCTAGTCCAAACCCCTTGCCACAGCGAGTCTACCTAGAGCAGGTTGCGCAGGAACTTGTCTAGGAGGGTTTGGAATGCCTCCAGAGAAGGAGATTCCACCACCTTTCTGGGCAGCCTGTTCCAGTGCTCTGCCACCCTCAAAGTAAAGAAGTTCCTCCTCATGTTTAGGTGGAACTTCTTACACTCAAGTTTGTGCCCATTTCCTCTTGTCCTGTCACTGGGCACCACCAAGAAAAGACCAGCCCCACACACATCTCTCTTCTCAAGTGGGATAGCAAGATAATAGAAATGAAACATATGGATAGATTTTTTTTTTTCTGGAAAAGTTTTATATTTCCTCCTATGATTCCTTTATGCTTTTAGTACATAAGTATTTATACTGGTTCCTTGTCGTTAACAAAAAATTACTATAAGGTATACCTGGACACATAGTCCATTGCTTCAAGCACAACTTCTCAGTGATTTCAGGGAACTTTTCAAACTTCTGTGACAATTTGTAACACATAGCAATTCAGCATATAAAAACAATAAGGAACGGTCAATGTGACAGATATAGAATGTTCCCATTAGAGGTGCTGGATTTCCATTGATGATGAAAATATTAGAAGTATGTGGTAACATTATGTTCCTGATGTCTACTTCAAAGCAAAAGGCAACCTTGTTAACGATGTTTAGGCAGCTCTTTTAAGCACTTAAGCAAGTTAAAAGAATGAACCTCTACTCTTTTCCAAATAAAAGGTGAAAGTTGAATAAAACATTACTATTCCTTCTACAATTGCAGCTGAACTGAATTCTCAATTCTGCTTGCCTTGCACAAAGTAACCTTTGAAAACTCCAATTTTAGACAATTTTTAGTTACATATTTTTAAGCTATAAGTATATAAAATTTGACAACCTGCTTAACTATTCCAGATATTATAATTTTTATTTCTTTCCACGAAGTAGTTCATATGCTAAACACAGGTATATAAAAAGGAAACAAATTTATTACTTAGAAAAGACAAAATACCAAAGTGCTTAGGTCAGCTGTTACCGTTATCTCTACTGACCCAAAACAGGTTTTTTTTTTGGTTGAATCATTTCTTAGCCGAGGTACTTAAAAATTAATAATCTCGACCAGACCATATTTTCCATTCTATCCAAGCATTTGCCAAAGTTAATCAGGCAGGACTGCAAACTTCTATCTCTATGTAGGATGCCTGCAGTAAATATTTCATCTGGGCTTAGTTATATATTCTTTAGTACAAAATTATACATCCTTAGAATCAGTACAGTACTATGGATGCTTAAGAAATTAGGCAAGTAATTTTTACCTAAACTGTTCTTGAACTCTGAAGTTAAGATGATGTATGAAAAATGCTGCTGAGGATATGAAATATTTGCATATCTGTGTTCATATTTCCTAACATTGTTTTCCATTGTCCTAAACTTGCAAAAATTGCACTAATTCAAAGCAGACTTTGCATTACGCTAAATTCCAGTATAGCCATTACTCATTACCCAAACCAAACAGGAGCCATCTCCCATCAAGAAAATTATATCTACCAACATGACTGTGATGCTGTGTATAATTCACCTCTATTTAGGTGTAGCATATGCCCCAAGGGCTTTGCTGTAAATGAAGCAACACAAACAGGATAAGAGATGTAGAATACCATTCAATATATGTTATGCTTGTTTGTAACGCTGAGTTTGGTCTAAAGTAAAAAAGGAAGGTTTTCCTTTCTAAAACCATTCATGTCATAGCTGCTTCATGATCCAAAATGTTCTTCCCTAAGTATTGGGAATATAAATGTAAATTTCCAGGAGAATTTAAGATTTCCTTTAATCTCTTGAGTCCTCAGTTTCTGAAATCAAGGAACGCACTAAATTTTGCAAGACATGCAATGAAAATCCTGAATGTTACTATCACCTTCTGGCATACCAACTCTATGCAATAGTCTGTTGCGTAAACAACATGCAAGTTTCTTACAGAGCAACCAAGAAAAGCAGTAAAGATCCTGGTATCCCCAAAGAGGTGGTTTTATGCGCTGGATTCTGAAGATATACAGCTTTGTTCACAATTTACTGTTGCTAAAGATGAACAAAATTGTAGAACCAAGAAGCAGCTGGTAGACCCTCTCTTTCTCAAGGTTGCAACAGTAAACATTTGTTGGCAGAAATTTAATTTCACAAGGAAGTTTCAACCTATTTAAAAAAAACTTCACCTTATATTTAGAAATGTATGATCTCCACCAGGTTTTGCACCTGAAACAAGAGTCCCCAGCATGGCCACTGAAGACATCAAGTTATTAAAGATGTGCAATGGATTCCTCTCCATCTGTGGCACGCGTGCAGTCTACATCCCTATTTCCTACCAGTCTCACAACAAATACCGAAGCATTTGTCTTGTCTTCAGTGAGCTCTCACAGCAGATTTCTCACAAGATGTTATTCAGGAAGTTAATGGATTGGAATGTTCTTGTACTATTCAGCCTCCGCGTTTTAGGCAAACCAAATTTTATGACAGAAGGTGATCCTGCTGCAAGGCAGAAAACTTTTCACTTCAAATTGTCTTTTTTGCTTGTGGTATTTGTAGTTTGTGACTTTCAAACTAATACAGTAAAGAAGAGAAATAAACTATACTCTGGTCATTTTGGCAAAATGGTTCAGACACCGCAAAATTTAATAAGTTTTGTCTAAACTTTTCTAGATTCTACAAGAATCTGACTAGTCATATCTACAGCAATCTTTTCCTCTGGTTTTGCACCATTCCCCAATTTAATTTGTCCTTTCCAGTGGTGGACTTAGTTCATTTCTGCTGTATGTTTAGGAATTTACAATGCAAAAGCACCACTTTCTTCTCTTCCCTGAATTAGGAATATGGTGCACAGGAGACAAAGAAGATATTTTGCATCAGTATCAAAATATACATATATCAGATGCATAACTTAAAGTTCATCTATGACTCACATGCATCTGCTCCTATTGCTTTTACTCAAACGTACCTACACTTGCTTAATTAAAAAGGGCAGAAGAGCGCTGTTAGTCAGTGCAGCGCAACTTCAACTGGGCTGCATCCCAGCTTTCAGATTCTTTACTAAGTAGGTGCTTAGCAAAATCACAGTCTGTCTAAATGCTCCTGCTTCTTCCCAATGCCTGCTTGAACACAGAAACAGCTTAAAGCTCTACCAGACCTCTCCTCTTCCTCATCACCCTCCCCTCTATTCCAGACAGCATAGCAGCAGCTACATAACCTCCTCAGGGCTGATTTCCATCTATAGGTTGCACCAACCCAAACTAAAGCAGTGTTTGATTTTGTAAAGCGTGGCCCTTAGATCAGTCTGTGGTAGACACGGTTCTTAATCTCACTAGACTACAGGGGATGTCCTTTTATCGCAAGTGAGCTGGTATCTCAGAAATGCTGCTGTGACCCAGTTCAGTTTCACAGATTCAGTTCTCCACTGACGCTGCCTTAAGAGTCACCCTGCGTTGGCTTGGTTTTATTTGTTTGTTTGGTTGGGTTTTTTACCATTCTAGCACCAGCAAACCATACATCTAATAATAGTCACGTTACACCTCACAATTTGGCTCTTGGTCAATATTGGGCAGATCACACGTGTTGGTCACCCAGCAGCTCCGAGACAGATTTTGCAAGATTGCCACCATTAGCATTTACCCAGTTCCTTCCTGGACTTTACAATAGGACTGCCTCCCATTTGTGCTTTTTTCCTGAAAATGCTGCCAGCTCCTTAGTGTGTGACTTGGATTCAAGCTTAACACCGTTGCCCACAGAGCATTCAGCACTTTATTGGCACAGAGAGGGGAAACAGGCATTACCAAACAGGAGACAGAACCATAATGAGAGGTGTGGCAGGTTAAAGGTGGCTTGGAGAGTGACCAGGCTTATCTTTAGGCAGGAATCATAAAGTTCATTCATTACTGGCAAAAACAACCCCCAAAACAAACAAGAAAACTCCCCCACCCCAGCACCTTCTTGTCATTATCTAGAATATTTTAGCTTGTAATACATAAGAATTTGAGATCCACCTTTCCCACATACAGAATTGACTCTCTGATGAGTAGATACGAGCCCCCTAGCTAACCAAACTCAAGGGCTTGGAGAGCTCTGGAGTTAAGTGATGCAGGTGACAAGCAGTGAAGGGCTTTACCAGCACCCAGCTGCTTGGCTCCACAGTGAAGAGGAAGCCTGGGAGGGTCCAGCCCAGCTCCCTCTGCCACGGCTCACACATAGCACAGCTGGACCAGAACTATTAACCGTGTTCCCTGGCCACCAGCGCTTCTGCATGAGAAGGCAAACTGTACAATTAAACTTTCAAAAGTGGAAATACGCACAATTTTTCAACAACTGATTTCCCAAGACAGATTTTTCTTCCACCCACTTATTTCCCTTAATTATTTAAAACATTCCTTATGAGGAAGCTCAAATTTGTCATGATGTAAGTTCTCCTTGCTAACAAGGCACATATTTATTATACTCTGAGCGTTGCTCTGTCCGATAGCTACCAGACTGCCACTGCCTTTCCAGTTTTGACTTGACAACTACATCCAAGGTAAGGATTCACACAACAGTTCTGCCTGAAGCCCTGTCGCTGCAGTTTACTACATGTGCAATTTTATTTTATATACACCACTAACATGTCCCTTGGAGTCTGGCACAGCTGAAGCATAGTGCTAAAAATGTATACATATTTCAGTTTCACTTTTTTTTTTTTAACTCTCAGATACCTAATGGAGGAAGATAAAAGTAAAAGGGAAGATAAGAGCAAAACTTTTTGTCCTTGTTTGGTTTTACTTTTATTCTAACACCTGAGAACACATTTGAAACATCAATATCCTTTGGATGTCACACCCCCTGCTCTAGAATTTCTGTCATTTTCCAGGCTAACAGTGTGAAATTACCAATGCTAAACAAAATTTGCCAAAGCAATTTTTAATTTTTTTTTCCCCCTCTTGCTTGTTTCAGAAGCATGTCAATGAATTGCCACTGGAAAGTCAGGCTTTTACCTCTCTTGCTGATTTTTTTTTTTTTAAATAACCTTTATTAACAGTAGAGGAAACAGTAACGAGTCTTCCATTTCAGAGGAAAAATAACAAAGATTTTCAACTCTCTGACCCGCTCTAAGAAACTTTTTTTTGCAAATAAAAATCTAGAGAAAATACACAAAATAGTAATATAGTAAGAAAGAAACAACTTCTCTTCTTACCTTTGTTTCTACAGGTAGATCTTGCTTATTGATCTCCTCAGTTGGTTCTTCCTTCACATTAGTATTAATTTCTAGAGTTTCATTTTCAGATGGGAGCAGTGTATCACTGCTTGGAGTCCTGTAGCAGCTGTTAAGTGTCTGTCCTTCACAAGCTGTCACGCTTTGCAGTGACTCTCTGGAAGTACTTTCTCTTTCCCCGTTTACCAAGCTGCTGTTGATGGCATTATCCAGAACCGGGGTGGACGTAGCGGAACCACAATCAGGTAATCTCCTGTCCTCATCTTCTGTCTGGTCTTGTGCTACAACCCCGTTGGCTGTGTGTAGCTGTGCAACCTGAGTTTTGTCGGTATTACTGTTTCCCTGTTTTTGTAGTGGGTGTTGGGAGGGGAGTTTTGGCTGAGGTGATGGTGTTGACACGTATCTTCCTTGAGATTTAGAAATGTGGAGAACAGAGGAATCTTTCTTCAAATCACTAGGATTTAACGAGCTAAAAACACCAAACAAAACAAAACACAGATGAGAGAAAAGTTAAACATGGCGTTCTAGAAAATCCCTGGTATGGGGAGTAGGAGTGTTGCACCATTTAACCAATTCCTCCCAAACCATTTTTTCCTGTGTTAATATATTGGGAAGTTCAGGCCATCGAACTTGAACTGCATTATTCCCTTGAAATGCATAGAAACATGCATCTCCCACTGGAAACCCAGAGTGCCATCCATATTGATTCGTTACATCCTCATCTCTCCTGAGACTCACTTGTAAAATGGAAGGCAGCACGATCACCTCTACTAACAGATAAGGGAACTCTGATACATGAAGCAACTTGCCATCAGCAGAAATGGGGAAAGACTCATGGTCTCCCCAAGTCTCTGTCCAATGCCTAAACTAATGTGCAGCCTGTTCCCTAACAGCCCCTGAATTACACAAAACTCATGAAAAATGCCTAAGAATATTTAGCCTCCCTTTCCTTAGTTCAGCATATTGCAGGAGAAGCTTTAAATTCTTATCCCATTTCTTCCCCCAGTTTCCTTATTTTAGCATGTCCTTTCGTCATGCTGCATCATTGCTGAAGGTTTTTTTCCCTACATATTTTATCTCTGCTTTAAACATATGTTATCCTTTGTTCATACCTTTCACTATCTCTTTCTCTGTTTTGTTTTTGAGATTTTGAATTCTAGGCTAATATAAATGTTAGCCTACTCTGTAAAAGCGCTTGGCTTCTTCACAGTTCTTTTTGTTTTTAAAAAGAACAAACAACAAAGCATTGGAATTAAAATAAAACCTATTCGTTTTTGTCTGAAGTGTATTTAACAAGCCATATTCCACCTGCAAAATGATACTGTGTCCTCTAACATATTGTTCCTAGTATGGACCATTAATCTTCTGGTAAGATGAAGACTGCTTATAAACTGTATGTTTACTCCTTATTTATAGGACAGTTTGCACAAACATTGTAAGCATATTCTGCGCTTTCCTACACAGAGCTCAAAAAATACCTTCCACTAATTTCACCTTCTCCCATCATATAACAAAAAAAAATTAAATCAGTTTTCCTTTAGTTGTGTAAAGATTATGGCCTTTAAAAAAAAAATAATCTTAACTCCAAGATAGAATTAATTTACATTTTTCAACTGCATGCACACAGCAAAGAGATTTAATTAACTTTTTGCCATGCCTATGTGTTTGTGGGCCGTACAGACTAATGAAAATATGTTATCATAATTGACAATCACATTTTGCAGTTCATGAACATGACACCTAGTCATTTGAAGACCAATAATTACAAGTGAAGTTCACCTTCACAGAAGACACATTTTGTTAGCTGAGCTCATTTAAAACCAGGAATTGCTTCCACAGCCACAGCAGGATGTTCCAGAGCTCACATGCTAATTATGAAAGTTTCTCATAAGCAGAGATCATAGAGTTAAGGAGAATTTAATCATCGGGCAGATGTTATTGGGTGTACTTAATGAATTATGTTGGCCGAAAAGCAACCCAGCTTTCCCTAGTCAACAAAACAAAATGGCTCTATTTTTAAAAAGCCTACAAATAAAAAAAAATCCTTGCTGTCTTTATAGCTTCCTTTAATTGAATAATACTGCAAGTTTCTGTACAAACCAGCAGGCATGTCTAGGAGGAAGAAAGATAGGGCTCATTGGTGTAGGGCACAACGAACCTGAGGAGTTTCCTCTCAGAAAGGATAAAGTTGTTTTTCTAAGAATACTACACTGTTAAGACTTGAATGATGCTTTGGAGGAAACTGGGAAACAAAGTGGTAACAGGACTGGACACCTGAGCTAGAAGAATTGACAGGATCTTCAGCGCCACAGTAATTTCTTTTTCCCCATCATGGCAGTTATCATGACAGCAATGCAATTAAGTCTCTGCCCAATTATGGAAGTTTCTTGCAGATGAAGCTCTGAAATGATTTCTATTCCACTAGACAAATGTACTTTTTCAACGCTCAGCGGCTTCTGTATAAAGGATTAAATTTCCCCCATCTTGAGGGGGAATTCTTTCCGTGAAAGTCTTAACACTCTGGCCCCTCAGAAGGACATGCTCTGTTGTACATCATGCATTCATTCCCCCAGGGGCCATCCCTTCAGAACATCAGTATCCCGAGGAAACACAAGAAAGCCATGTCCAAAACTTCCAACGCTCAACTGTCACTGGACTGTTTCTTGAGCTGTTCCTCTGTCATGGGCTTTCTGGAAGGTTGCTCTCTTTATACAGAGCGGATATATTCAGAACTTCTGTTTCAGAGTTTATAATGCTTGTCACATACATCTAATTAAAGACACACAAGTAATACTATTTTGTGAAAGCAGTCCTCACTGCGGGGCTCATGTTTCTCAAAGTTCCAAATGTTTCCTATAAAAGGCAGGATCAAAACTCAAGAAAACGAAGCTATTCCACCAAAATCATCAGGTACTACAAAGCAAACAGTTTAGAGAGTGTACACCATAGCAATACAAATAGTTTGCATAGTTCACCCTCTTCACATGAATGAACTGAGGAGGTTAAGATGGTATAAAAGGAAAATCAGGATGTCAGGTTGTTCTATTTGCTTATAAAAGTTGGGGTTTTTTCTGCTAGAACAAAAGAATTTAAGATTAGCTCCAATGTTTCATTCTAAAATCAGGACTGATTTCAAATTGTTGACATTTTTCAGGCTGTTTTAAAAATGCTACATATTTGTTTGTTTTGTAAAGAAAAGTTAACATTAGCACCTTATGAAAAAGCACCCCACGTACAGACCAAATATACGACTGGCTTGCATCATTTCAAAACACATGCATCCTCTGGCCAGGATGGGTTTGAACACTACCACCATGCCAACGTTCTGCCTCACAGGTTCAAATTCCAACAGTCCACACACAACGGAGTTACAAACCAATTCACATTCTATTACATACCTGCCTCCCTCAAAACGACTGATGAGATCTGACACTTTACTGGATTTCTCCTTTGTGACACTAGGAGCAGGGGTGGGTGTCTCTTCCTCCATTCTCGGTTTCTGATTTGATAAAGCTTTATGCCTAGGGATTTGGTATGGAACAGGTGACACCTTCTGCAGATGAATCGGCTTTGGAGGCACTGCAAAAAACAACAACCACCACCACTTACAAACTCTTTTTTTGAAGTGTCAGAACACATGAGATTTTTGCATAAGTACTTACTACAGTGATTAAGAGATGCTCTTGGCTTAACTTAAAGTTGCATTATGAATATAGCGACTTCATATAGTCTTTTATGTACTGTGTCACATCAGGCATCTGGTTACACTTCTTGAATAAAAGCTGAATCGTGCTACTTTAACAAGTTAGAAAATTAGGGGGGTTTCTTGTTTGTTTTTTATAGTATACTGTAGCAAACACCTATGTGGCCTCCATAAATGCAGCATTTTTCATAAAAAAAGGATTAAACATAATCAGAGGATCTAGCTGTGCTGCTCAAGAGGGAGGTTTAAATTGCTGCCCCAAAACTCTGGTGCTCTCATTCTTCCCCTTCTCCCTCATGAGTTCACTAATAATAGTGATTGGAAAAGGTATTTGCCTTCAGCTTTGAGCTTCCTTTACTCCCTGAACCTTCATCTATTAATACTACTTTCAAGCTTTATGGTCGTATATATTAACACAAGCAAAACAAATTTGGGGAAGGATGCAGTGCAGAAAGGATGACTTTAAACCACCGCAATTTTCAAATAGTTACAATGCAATCCCGAAACAAGCAGAATATTAAATTGTGTAGCTGCTTGAGTATCTGTAGTAACCAAAGCCTCCCCTGAGAAGCCCCTTAACATTTGCTCAGCCGCAGCTGCAGTGCAGCCGAGCAGCTTCTCCTTACATCCCCTCTTCTCAGGGAGTTTGGAGAAGGTCTGGCAGAATTAGGCCAACGAGCATCAGGTAATTGTCCGGGTGCTGAATAGCTTGCTGTGCTGACAAAGGCGATGGGACAGCTGAAAAAGGCGAGACCGGGTTGGGAAAAAGCAGGACACATAATTGAGTGTGGGCACCGCCGTTCCCTCAGGGAGGAGAGGGAAGGGAAGGCTGGGTGGGTTTGTAGAAAGACCTCCTGCTCTTGCAATGGATTTTGTGTAACCCTGTGAATTCTCTTATTTAAGGGACTCACACAACTCTTCAATTCTTTTGTACATTTCATAAAATGTTAATATCCTCACAAGGATATATTAAAACCACTAAACTTGAGGGAATTAGCATCTACTGATAAAGCAGAAGGAATTAGTTGGAAGCTATTTTTATACTGGATCCACTGGGACAAAAAAAATCAAATTCTAGGACATTCTGTGGAGGTGTTGCACACTTTTGCAGCTATTACTGAAAAACTCCCAGCTTGGCAGCATTTCAGCAGGGCAAGCACGAGGAACCTCTGGTCAAACTGCACAACCCCAGTATATTGAAAATCCTTGTAATGTCTTCAGAGGAGAACCACAAACCAAACAGCCACACCAACTCACTAATGCAAGAGACTTTCTTCTATACTCCCTATTACCATTTAACAGACAGCATTTCCCCTAATCAGCTGCTGCTGTAGCCACTCTGAGTTTCCGAAATAGAGCCATGGGAAAAGGACAGTCACAAGATCAATGAAAAGAAAAGAATCAGTAGTGTGAAAAAACCTGCAATCCTTCCTGTAAGGTCAGCCTTGTTAACAGGGATTATGGAAAACAAATTCCATTAATTCTCCCCTCAATGTACTTCTGAAGTGCTTTGTTTTAATAAGATTATTTTTCAACGTGCACACAGCAAGGATCTTAAAGAAAGAAAAAGCAAAAGAGAAAAGACTGGTCCATTGTAATACCCTGCATAATACAGAGCTCTGTTTGAGTCTATAAATACTCTTGTCTCCATACTGCAGAATTTTGAGCTTATAAGGAAATATGAACTGCACATTCTGCCCAAAGAAAACCCCTCAAGTATACTCAGGTAGCTGCTACTGTATAACACTACCCAAAATACCTAATCAAGACTTAAGCTGCAGTGTCTAGTTGTGCTTTCAACTTTGTCCATATGCATAAAATACATACATAATGCTGCTAACGGCTCAAAAGGTGCAACCACCTTTGCTGACTCCAAAGCATATTAGCAAAGATCATTTATCTCTTCTCCTGGAAGGTATAACGTGTTCAATCTCCCTTTGTGTGTTTAACTCCTGCTGGTTAAAAATGCAGCTACATTTTTATTCGATGAAAATACAGTTAAAAGTTCCTGTGGTAAGCAACTACAGCTCTCCTGGCTGAGTCATCCTTCATCACCTCCATGCATGCTCCATCACCTTCAGGAAGATCAAATGAGCACAGCTGGATAGATACCAAAGATTTACACTCACAAGAAGAGTAGGAAACCACCAGTAACCTAGAGTCAGCAGGAGGAGAGAAAAAAATATCCATCTCCTCTTTAGGTTGTACATTTCTGCATTTTTATATCACAAGTACCTTCCAATATTTTATTAAGAAATAAAACCATAATAAGAAATAATAATCAGGAGTGCTTTGTTCTCTCGTATATCTTTTTCCTGAAGATAATGTTTGGGATTTAACAGTTTTGTTGATAAAAGAGTCATTGCTACAAGTTTCTGAAAGCATTACTGAGGTGGGAGAAGTCTAGCTAGAAACAGCTCTCAGTTTTATTTAAATTCACCTCTAATTATAGAAGTTTCATTTGCTAGAGAAGTACAGTCTACATCTGAGACCTTTAAGAGGTTTTTCAGCTTTTCTGGGCCCAGGCTACTGAATACCTTCAAAACCACAAACTATACTATGATTAACTGAGAAAGGAGGGCAGGACTGATGCTACACAGCAGACCATCAGCTAAAACCGACTGCTGAGGTTTATGTGTTGAACACTTTGTGTCCATACCATTTCACAGTAGCACAAACCAGGCCATCTTCTGGAGTGGAAAATCACTTCCAACCCAAACAAAAATCAGCCTCAGCAGGAGATTCACAAGTACTCCTAAGCACTCATTAGTAAAATTTAAATGAGCAACTGATGCACAGTCTTGAACTGACAAGACACTTCACTGCTTTGAAGAAGTGTTGACATTTCAACATATTTTCCATCCTACAATACTCCTGCCTGGCACAGACAACAGTTTCAGTGCCCAGTATTTAGTAATTGGGCATCATAAAAATCATGAAGCAGAGAATAGAAGAAGCTAGAAAAAACTGGTTAATTTGTACATGCTACTCTACATGCATTCTGCTTTTGCTAGGTTCAGATCACTTCCCAAGTATTTGTAGGCATGGACAAATTTCAGTTTATCTAATTTGCTTCATCTTTTGTGCATCATATTTGCCTTGGAACTCAGTAAGGTATTTTGCTATTTGCAGTGACTACCTCCAGTCTACATGAGTCCACTTTATCAGAGAATGCAGGCTGCATCGATGCAAAGGTGAAACACCGAGTCTCACAGCTGCTACAGTCTGACACTGCTTTTCTCCACACTCCTGATTTCTTTGCTCAACTCCCTCACTCGACTTCAGTTTCAGGCTTTGTTCCAAATTTGCAAAGACTTTCATGAATCAAACTGTACTCAATACAGAAATCTGACATAGAAGTGGCGAAATTGTTGATGGAAAGAATTATTGGGGAGAGAAAATTGCTCTTTTACTGTCAGTGTATCAGACAGCTAGTTTGTTTTCTCCTTGAAATGCCAGGGAAAGAAATGGAAAGAAATAATCTTATATTGGATTCTGTGCAGGAATTTATTCACTTGATCTAGCTACCCTGAGTGATCTTTTTCCAAATATTTAAACTACTTCTCAGAGACCAAGTACAGACAAAATAGGTTCAGAGTCCAGGGTTCACTTCAAGTGCAAGATTTGGGACATTTTTCCTCTATATTAAAGCTCTATTTCCTCTATGAAAGCTAAATTTACTAAAAGTAGCTGTAACCCCACTTGTCATGCAACCTCATAGTCAACTTTATATACCTCTCATTTTAATTATATACATTTTGGTAGGTTAGATGAAGGTCATTTTGCAATTAGTTCATCAACCACCAAACATTACAATTCAGATCTGTCATCTTGTTTCCTTTCACTATAAAAGGACACTTGGTATTTGCATGACTAGAACAACAATTTGGAAAAACACTTCCTTCTACTATAAACCAAAAATGTTTCTGTACTTATACAGTAAAAGTTTGTTGTTTTTTTTTTTAAATTAGCAACCACATTTAAACCAATAAACTACAGCAATTTATTTTGCTTGGATTGCTTGGACTTCCATATGCTTACCTCATTCATTCTATCTTGTTTTGCTTCAATTAAATAAAAAAGGGCAATAAGATCTACGACTAACTTTGAGATGAGGCAAATATTTAATAGAAACAAATGGAGAAAGACACAGGGCAGTGAATAAAGCAGGCACAAAATACTATTTACAACACTATTATTGAATACAATCCACACAGCTGCATTTCTTAGACTACAACACTATTCCTGGCTATGCCACATTTTGGAGAAAGTAATTTTGACAAACACAGATATCATGGCTAGGAAAGAGCAACAACAGCTGCACAAATACTTGAATGAATAGGGTTCAATAATATCCAATTCCTAATTTATCTAACAGCTAAAATTTATAATAAATTGGCTGGCTTTGTTTTTGAAAGGCTTAAAACCTTTCTATTGATTGCCCATTTCTGTTTATCCATTAACAGATTTCTCAATTATTTTTCTTATGAAGAACGTGTTCTCGTTAGTTTCAGAGAACACAGTTCAGAGACCTAGGAACTGGTGAAGAAAGAGTACTCAGATAAGTAACATTCACATATGACTGATAAAAACATCTTAGTTTATAGAACTTTTGCCAGTATTGTTCACTAAAAACAAACAATACAAAAAAACCCACAACACTTTATTTTGCTCTCATTTTCTTTAAGTAAATAAAACTTTCTTGACACCCCAATAAATTTCTTCCCCTTGATCCTAACATGAACTCAGGACTGATGCAAAATTCTTCAAGATGCATTTTTCCATTAATTGATACACAGATTGTTACATCCACTACACGATGACTCTATGTGATTCCAATGTCTATATATGATTTTGACGTGATATAGTTTTCTGTAAGTAATTCTAGTTTCTGTCGTCTAAGCACTGTGTCTCAGAATCCAATTCACTGAGCAAGATCATGACTATCAGTCTTATCAACTCACTTTTTTTAACTTTTGAGATGAATGAAGCTCCTATTGCATGTCAATCCTAAAAGGCATCAGTCCAGATCCCCTTTGAACCCAAAATTTCCAGAACATATTAACTCCTTGTTGTAATCAACCTCAGCAGAATCATTGATATTACTTAGGAGACCACATAAAAACACGCTTTGAGGTTTAGATACATAGAGCCAACGTGTAGGTTGAGCAATTTAGGTTCCGAAAGTGAAGATGCTATTTATGGACAGGAAGAAAAGCAATCTATTTCTACTCTGCAGACGCTATTGGTCAGCTTTTACTGCACAAACACAAAGTTCCCATCTTCCCACATACTCCTGCAGGCTGACTCCTCTCGAGCTCCACTAGAATCCCAAAGGCACTGAATATCTTCCCCACCACCCCCACCTCAAAGCCAGCCTGCCAAACACTCCAATTCACAGTGTCAAACCCTTCCAGCTCAAATACAGTAATCCTTTTGACAAATAACCCCTGGCAATAGTTTAACACAAAGGGCTTAAATGCATTCTCCCATCTCTACCTACTAGCCACTCCTTGGGCAGAGAACAAATTTAACCCTTGCTGCCTGGCCGTAAACGCACAGTAAACTATTAGATAATAGAGATAAAAAGTGTAGCCAGACCTATGTGCTTGTAACATATTGGTAAGTCCAACTTTCCTTCCAAGAACCTTCTCCAGAAAAATATTATCAGAAATTACAGATTCATAAAGCATTTAGAGCACATTCGTAATTCAGTAGCAAGCTTTTATCCCACCAATTTCTTTCTGACAAACACAGTTCTTTCAAAGTGCTCTATTTTCACCTGAAGTCTGAGGCGAAGAACAACTTCCCTCACAAAAATATTCAAGACTACTTACCTTGTGGCTTTGGATTTGAAGCTGAACGCGGGGACTGTTTGACTGGCACACTTCCATTTATTCCCTGAGCCGCTTCATTGTGTACATTCTGCTCAACAAGCCTGGTCGTGGCACTCGCTGTACAAGATCTAGACAATATTAAGGACTTTGGACAGATGCTGCTGCCTGAAAACCAAATACATACGATAAACCAAGCGTTAGAAACAGGATTAAATGGAAGGTAGAATGACTATAAACACATTCATTAAGTGCTAACACTTCTCTACAGAGAAAATTAGAACACTCGTCTCCCTTTAAGAGTGTCTCATCCTAAAAACATGCTTTGCTTTTTGCTGAAATTTACTATGTTTAAACTTCGAGGTTTATTAAACTTGGAGTATATTTAAAAAAAAATAAAAATAAGACTTCTACCATGACTAGCCTGAACTCCTCTATAAAAAGATTAACAATTCCTAACACACTTTTTCCTACCTAAATTGTCAATGTGATTCTTCAACAGAAGAACAACAGAAAAAACAGCATTTTTGTTCAGCCATTCTATTTCTGTATAATAAGTGATCACAAAACGTTATACATTAAAAAAGTTTATTTTATTATGGAAAGTATCATAAAAAAAATTAGCTAAATGAATTGCAACTTTCTTGTAGGAAAGGGCTCATTTTGTAAGTCCATCTCTACCTACTAGCCACTCCTTGGGCAGAGAACAAATTTAACCCTTGCTGCCTGGCCGTAAACGCACAGTAAACTATTAGATAATAGAGATAAAAAGTGTAGCCAGACCTATGTGCTTGTAACATATTGGTAAGTCCAACTTTCCTTCCAAGAACCTTCTCCAGAAAAATATTATCAGAAATTACAGATTCATAAAGCATTTAGAGCACATTCGTAATTCAGTAGCAAGCTTTTATCCCACCAATTTCTTTCTGACAAACACAGTTCTTTCAAAGTGCTCTATTTTCACCTGAAGTCTGAGGCGAAGAACAACTTCCCTCACAAAAATATTCAAGACTACTTACCTTGTGGCTTTGGATTTGAAGCTGAACGCGGGGACTGTTTGACTGGCACACTTCCATTTATTCCCTGAGCCGCTTCATTGTGTACATTCTGCTCAACAAGCCTGGTCGTGGCACTCGCTGTACAAGATCTAGACAATATTAAGGACTTTGGACAGATGCTGCTGCCTGAAAACCAAATACATACGATAAACCAAGCGTTAGAAACAGGATTAAATGGAAGGTAGAATGACTATAAACACATTCATTAAGTGCTAACACTTCTCTACAGAGAAAATTAGAACACTCGTCTCCCTTTAAGAGTGTCTCATCCTAAAAACATGCTTTGCTTTTTGCTGAAATTTACTATGTTTAAACTTCGAGGTTTATTAAACTTGGAGTATATTTAAAAAAAAATAAAAATAAGACTTCTACCATGACTAGCCTGAACTCCTCTATAAAAAGATTAACAATTCCTAACACACTTTTTCCTACCTAAATTGTCAATGTGATTCTTCAACAGAAGAACAACAGAAAAAACAGCATTTTTGTTCAGCCATTCTATTTCTGTATAATAAGTGATCACAAAACGTTATACATTAAAAAAGTTTATTTTATTATGGAAAGTATCATAAAAAAAATTAGCTAAATGAATTGCAACTTTCTTGTAGGAAAGGGCTCATTTTGTAAGTATTGGAAAAAAAAAAAAAGGCAAAAAAAGTAAAAAAAAAAGCAAAACACAAAGCCAGCTGACTCTTCCATTTCATTTCTTCCTAGCAGAATGGAATTTACACTGATTCAGAGGATCAATTAGCAATTGGTAAACTAATTACTTATTGATCCTCTTAATCAACGTAAATTACTATTAGCTTATCAAAGCTATTGGTAAGAAAGCTGCAAGTAAATATAAAGCAAAATATATTCAGAACAACGGAAACCATTAGAAAATCACTCAATAGAATGTGATTACAGAAGCCTAAACCATACACTTTGGTTTGGGGTGTGAAAACAATTAGCTCTGTAAGCACAGTCAAAAACTTGAAATAATAAGAAGGATCTTGAGATGTTATAATTCAATATTCCTTCATCTCTGAATCCAAAAAATCCATTACATTTTTGTGGGGAAAAGCAAGGGAGAGAAGGAAAACCCATTTATCATTTATTGTAGTGTTGCCATAATTATTTTCATTTTTAACAAATTGATTAGGGTAGAGTTTGGACAGTTCAATTTGTTATTATTTGCCATCATTTTACCCTTGCTTACTTGCATTAGTAGAAATGCAAGCATGAGTGGGGTTTTATTTGTGTGTTTCCAAAAAAAGCAAATCCAAAACCCACTCAACCATTTCATAAGGTATTGATGTGTTCTAAACAACTGGTCTGGAGAGTCTGGACCCTCTGATCTAATCCATCACCTTCTCCCATTGCAAAATCCATTATATCAAGCCATTTCTACCAGCAGCCAGGCCTGCTCTTAGAACAGCAGTGGAAAGAGGCACCATAGCCACTGCTCAACCAACTGCTGCTGAAAGATTCTTCAATGTTTTGTGGATTCTGACAATATTTTCAAGTATTTATGCTTTATTTCTTAGAAGCTTATTTTTCCTTTTAAACACTGAAGTAGCCCTACACCAAGAAACTGCCTCTACAAATATGGTGACTTGCAGAGGTCCATGGCGAGGTCAACAAACCAAACTACGAAAGTGCCAGTACTCAGATCACAACACATGCAAGACACCCATGGCTGCAACATGGCATCTTCCCTCTTCCATTTCATTCAATTTGCAAGGGATCTCCCAAGAACATAAAAGTGGCTGGTCCCAAAACGACGTGGATAATCTAATAAGGTCCACCACATATGAAACTTTCTCAGACATTTATGATTTTCGGCAGAAATTCCTCAGCTCCGTTTCCCCAGCTATCACTCCATACACAAAAAATGGTATTGTACTCCAGCAGTAGGAGCTGTCCCACACCATTCCTCAGTGCCTAAGAAGGTACCTTAAGTGCCATTTCTGTCTCTCCTATGGAGGTAGGAGTACTGAAAGCTCTCAGGCAGACCAAGGTGATGGTACAGGTAGAGACTTGTACCAGCAAGTCTTCCTTGTCTCCACCAAAGGGCCAACAGGTTGAATTTCCCTCTCCCACAGAATCCTATACCACAATGTAGCAGTTTACACTCCAACTGGGGAACCCTCAATTCAGAAATAAATTTCAGAAAGAGTAACTCCTGCAGGATCAGTAGTACCACGCACAAGTCAGGTACGCAACTGCACATAATTTATAGATCTACGTTCAGATCACTCTTATAACTTTGCAATGGGGATGAAATTGTGAAGTCTTGGAGCTCTCTGGAAACTATTTTAACTGCAGATTCGACAGCTAATACACTTCAAGGTCTCCAGTTCCCCAACTGCAGCTCAGTAAGGGGCCCTGCTGCTGTCAGCTGCTCAGGCTGAGGCCAAAAAACTCCATCAAAATGGTATCTCATAATTTACTAGAAGGAAACACAGTACTGCTATGGTCAGAATAAGAACTTACTTTCTATTCACAACTTTATCAAGGCAATTACTCCTCTTTAAGGTTATCACTCACGATCACCTTAAGCCGAGGCAGATGCAGAGCTGCTGCTGAGATCAGGGCAGCTGTGTGGTCTGCCACTCCTCCTCACCATCTGCACCAGCTTCTGCTTCTGGCTACAAGCAACAGAAAAGATTGCTTCTCTGTGGTGGGATCTTTTGCAACTGCTTAAAGGAAAACAAAAGCTCCAAGAGGCATTCAGACCCAAGACGTGCTCTGGCTTCACCCAAGTAAGAACTCAGCACGAGAAATGTGTGGAGAAACAGACCATCTTCAAATTGATTATTGTTGTACAAGCCGTTACACAAATTACTCATCCTGTCTGGAAGCCATACTTGCTGGAGATGGACACACTACAGACATTTAACCTGTATTTCAAACTAGTAATTCTGTTAATCGTGTCACATCCTCAAGCCATGTGTTTTGACGAATAATTTAGCCACATCAGGACGAACTACCTTCTTCACATGTAAAGCTGGAATGGAAAAAGGTAATGGAAATCTAGCCACACCGTACTTCTATGCAAAATTAAGTAGACAAATTCTCTGGATAAAAAGCATCCTTTTTAACACTCCTGGAAATCTGAGCCTTGGTTTCTAGCCAGTGAACAATATTACCTTCCAGGTAATATAGACAAGAAAACTGTGGCAGAAATACAAGTCTGTGGTGAAAATTCCTGTAACTAGTGTATTGTATTCAAGTGTATTATAACAAAAGCCCAAAACACATAATTTCCAGCAAATTACAAAAATACCAAATACTTGCCTAACAGTCAGCAGCACACATTTCAGTAGGGCTGCTCAATTCTGTTCATTTACTTAAGTGGTAACGCAGTCTAGGCTTTTAGAAGTACAGTTCTTTCCCTGTAAGTACAACGTAAAATCCAATTCTATACGCAAAAAGTCAGACACGCTGCAAAAACCTGCAGCTTTTACTGAGCCAAAGTAGATTCCCATTGTGATTATTTCTGACCTGATTAAAGAAATGCTTGCATATTACTGCTATTTCTATGCGTTATAATAACTGAGAAATTTTACTTGAAGTCAGAAATGCAGTGAGTGACAAAATACTACCAGCCAATTACTGCATTCACTAGTACATGATTAATACCAGCTTTTATAATCGAGTATGATTAAATACACTGAAGAGGAGAGAAAGGTCGGGAAAATTTTTTAAAAAATAATATATAAACTAGAGGCAGGCAAGGATGTAAGACAGAGGAGGTAATAAATAACTAAAAGAAAAGAAATATACACTGTAAATTTCATAAGCACTTAATTATTTTGCTTATCTGCAAGGAAATGAGAAGCTAGAATGCTTGCAAACGTGCTTGCATCTGCAAGAATGTCTGAAGCTAGTGGAAGCATTATCTGTTTTGTCACAGCATTCTAATTAGAAATAACTTGGAGCCATGAACACTTAGACAAACATAATTAGCCAGCTTGAAATGCCAGTAACATGAAAAAATATGGCTTATTTATATTCACAAAAGGTTAAACTGATGTTTTAGTACTGGATAGGTCCTCCATCAGCAGTTCCATAAGCTTCATGAAGACAATCTCAACACCATTAAGTCTTCTGTTATATTTATTTTCAGCCCCGCTCACAGCACATAACATGTCCAAACTGTTCCAGTATTGTCTAATTTTTACTGCCATTATGATCCCACTCTTGATCGTACATTCTGAATGAAAGAAATGCAGCATTTCTGAATGTAAACAAGGTCTATGGGAAAAGGGTTATTCTCTTGTGACTTCCAGGAAGCAAAATTTAAGTCTCAAAATTACTTCTCAAAGTTATATAGCTATGTGTACTTAGTGCATTATGTCCCAAGAACAGCTGCTGTAATGGTCATGGTCTTGACATTCTACTGCTAGATCTTTTCATGTAAGATCAATGCAAAGCTTCACCCTTCCTACTCATCCCTGGACATACGTGGAGGTTCAGCTAATAAGTCTATCTACCAAAGCATGAGTTTAGCCACAGCAACCTAATGGTACAATCTCCTGATCAGTTCAAAAGAGCATTAAGTAGCACTGAGACTACAAGAAACTACATCAACCCACCCACTCACCAAACACTACAAGAGCTGTAGCAAGGGCAGGACAAGAGTTTGTAGCTTCCTGAGTGCTAACTAGAAGGCAGAAAGCAGCCTCTTGTCTGGGCAGTTACAACACAAGATTTGTTGAGGCCCAAGCAGGAAACCTAGTGAATCAGGTGATGGATTTTGCCCAATAGCATCCAAATTTTTTGCACAATAGTATCCAAACCTGTCCTAAAAAACCAAGTTACTAGAATTTGGTACCTACTCTTCACAGGTTTGTCCTGTTTTGAGAGGAACTGACATGTTACTAAGATGCTTATACTACTGTTGGACACCTAAACACAGTTTAAGAGTAATTGCCTGGATTAAGCCAAAAACTATCTGAAAATTAGCAATATGGAGGAGGAGAGTCGAAGTCCGGAGGTCTGAGTTTCTCTCATGGAAAAAACCCCAAACTTCCTCCAAATTCAATTAAATGCTATCCTCTCAAGTTAATTACACAGTTGTGTTTTAGTATCTTTTTCACCTCTCCCATCACAGTGGTAACAGTTGTGAATGCTTTACA